AGGACAAAGGCTGGAAATAGCTCTTGGCGAGGAGCTTGGCAAGCCTTTTGAATGATGCGGGTACAAAATAAAAGATGATTTTGATTTCCGTGACGCTGCAGCGCAAAAGGCTAATACGATCCTCACATTAGAAATGAAGGCAAGAAATAATGCAATTATATTATTTTAATATTGAAATATATTATCATTATATATATATATATACCCACTTGCCGTCCCCTGCCACGCATTGCTGTGGCCCAGACTGTGTATATGTGTTTGTGTGTATATACGCATACATGTGTATGTATATATTTGTGTACTAGCTGTCCCCTGCCACGCGTTGCTGTGGCCCAGTCTGTTGATCTGGAAAATAAAGTAATGAGAAAGTGTTGGTTTCTAATATATGTAATTCCTTTCTGCTTGTAAGTAAACAGTATTTCTTGCTGTTTCTTTGTCAGTGTTGATGTGGAGAGTGTCTAGTTTGCCCACCCTGGAATATGCAACATATCATAGTCCTTCTTTAAGGGTCTCTTTCAAATCTATGATACTATATCTGTGTGTGTGAGAGAGAATCATATCTATCTATCTATATTTATGACTGGATGGCTCTCTGTCAGGAGGGCTTTGATTACATTTTCTTGCCCTGGTGAAGAGAGTTGGACAGGATGGCCTTAAGTATTTTCTGTTGGTCATGGGGGTTCTGTGTGGGACGTTTGCCCCAATTCTGTCGTTTGTGGGTTTCAGAATGCTCTTTGATTGTAGTGAACTATAAATCCCAGTAAGTACAAATCCCAAATGTCAAGGTCTATTTCCCCCAAACTACATCTGTGTTCATATTTGGGCATATGGAATATTCGTGCCAAGTTTGGTCCAGATCCATCATTGTTTGAGTCCACAGTGCTCTCTGGATGTAGGTGAACTACAACTCCCAAACTCAAGGTCAATGCCCACCAAACCCTTCCAGTGTGTTCTGTTGGTCATGGGAGTCCTGTATGCCATGTTTGGTAGAATTCGATCATTGGTGGAGTTCAGAATGCTCTTTGATTATAGGTGAACTATAAATCCCAGCAACTACAACTCCCAAATGTCAAGGTCTATTTCCATTAAACTCCATCTGTGTTCATATTTAGGCATATGGAATATTCGTGCCAAGTTTGGTCCAGATCCATCATTGTTTGAGTCCATAGTGCTCTCTGGATGTAGGTGAACTACAACTCCCAAACTCAAGGTCAACGCCCACCAAACCCTTCCATCATTGGTGGAGTTCAGAATGCTCTTTGATTGTAGGTGAACTATAAATCCCAATAACTACAACTCCCAAATGTCAAGGTCTATTTCCTCCAAACTCCATCTGTGTTCATATTTGGGCATATGGAATATTCGTGCCAAGTTTGGTCCATCTCCATCATTGTTTGAGTCCACAAACAATATGGGTGAACTATAATTCCCAAACTCAAGGTCAATGTCCACCAAACCCTTCCAGTTTTTTCTGTTGGTCATGGGAGCCCTGTGTGCTAAGTTTGGCCCAATTCCATCATTGGTGAAGTTCAGAATGCTCTTTGATTGTAGGTGAACTATAAATCCCAGCAACGACAATTCCCAAATGGCAAAATCATTTTTTTTGAGTGGAGGACATAAATTGGACTGTTAGGTGTCTTGTGTCTGAATTTGGTGTCAATTCCCCCAGTGGTTTTTGAGTTCTGATGGTAGCACAAACGAACATTACATTTTTATTTATATAGATATGTGGTTTTGTGCACGTGTTGTAATGTATTTTTTTTATTTTAGTGGTTTTTAAGCCTCTTCTACTGTGATTTTCAGTGTTTTTATGAGTGATGGTCACTCGTTGGCCCGATAGGTGTCTTGTGTCCAAATTTGGTGTCAATTCGTCCAGTGGTTTTTGAGTTATGTCAATCCCACAAACTGACATTACATTTATATATCTATCTATCTATCTATCTATCTATCTATCTATCTATCTATATCTATATATCTATATCTATATCTATATCTATATATATGATTATTGTTATTATTATATCCATAGCAGAGAATGGCGAGTCGGTCTAGATGACCTTTAAGGGCACCTTCCAATATTATTATAATTCTATTTTTAAATTATTATTACTATTATTTTCTTATCTCATTATATAACCATTATATATGTTATCGTTATGGTTATATTTGGGATCCCAAAGGCCATCTAGTCTAACCCTGTTGTTGTTGTTTGTTTGTTTATTAATCAATTTTATATATTGCCACTCCCCAAAGGCTTGGAGTGGTTCCCAATATACTGTTGTTGTTATATTTGGGATCCCAAAGGCCATATTATTATCATTATAGTCTTCTATCATGTCTCCGCACAGGGAGCTGGAGCTGACTGGGGGAGCTCATCCATGCTCTCCACGGATTCGAATCTCCGACCTGTCGGTCTTCTGTCCTGCCGGCACAAAGGTTTAACCGATTGTATCACCAGGTGTTCCATATAATAAAATTTAATAATGGGGATACTATAATAATAATAATAATAATAATAATAATAATAATAATAATGATAGGGTTAACCATAATACAAATAATAATAATAATAATAAATTACCTAATAATAATAGTAATAATAATGGATTGAAGAGAAACAATTGGAAAAGCTGACACGATACGAGGATTTAAAGATCGAACTGCAAAGACTCTGGTACAGCCAATAAAGGTGGTCCCAGTGGTGATCGGCACACTGAGTGCAGTGCCTAAAGACCTTGGCCTGCACTTAAAAACAATTGATGCCACCTTACTGGGATTTGCACACATTATTCGCTGATACATCACATAGTCCTCGACACTTGGGAAGTGTCCGACGTGTGATCCAATTCAACAGCCAGCAGAGTGATCTTGTTTGCTGTTGTGTTTCAAATAATAATGGTTAAACCACGTGGCCTTTGGGATCCCAAATATAACAACAACAACAACCACAACAACAGTATATTGTGAACCACTCCTAGCCTTCGGGGAGTGGAGGTATATAAAATTGATTAATAAATAAATAAACAAACAATAACAACAACAACTGGGTTAGACTAGATGGCCTTTGGGATCCCAAATATAACCATAACGATAATTATAACATATATAATAATAGGTTAGACTAGATGGCCTTTAGGATCCCAAATATAATAATAATAATAATAATAATAATAATAATAATAGGTTAGACTAGACGGCCTTTAGGATTCCAAATATAATAATAATAATAATAATAATAATAATAATAATGCTTATTATATTTTATTAAAATATATCCTAATATAATAATAATAATAATAGGTTAGACTAGATGGCCTTTAGGATTCCAAATATTATACTACTACTACTACTACTACTAATAATAATAATAATAAATCTTATTATATTTTATTAAAATATATCCTAATATTATAATAATAATAATAATAATAATAATAATAATAATAATAATAGGTTAGACTAGACGGCTTTTAGGATTCCAATAATAATAATAATAATAATAATAATAATAATAATAAAGCGTATTATATTTTATTAAAACATATCCTGATAATAATAATAATAATAATAGGTTAGACTAGATGGCCTTTAGGATTCCAAATATAATAATAATAAATCTTATTATATTTTATTAAAACATATCCTGATAATAATAATAATAAGCAGTCTTTGAGATCCCAAACATATACATCATCATAATAATAAATACTATTCTAATAATAATGTTATAATAATAATACATTAAATAATAACAATAATTCAATTGATAAAAATTAAATCCCTCCCGACAGATGGTCATTCAATTCCGAACCCTAAAGGTCATCTAGACTGACCCCCCATTCTATAACATTAGAAAATAATAGTAATATTAATAGGAATCCAAAAGAGCCCCTCAACCTTTCAATGGGAAGTCTAATCATACAATAGAATTGGGAACCCTAAAGGTCATCTAGACTGATCCCCCCCTTACTGTCTCATATTTATAGCTATCGTCTTTAGGAGTCTATTTGAGGCCTTCAAAGTATTCTCAACGCCTCCTAGTACCCAATCACGCATCTTTAGGTCCTAGACACGCATCTTTGAGCCCTAAACACGTGTATTGCCCTTTAGAGCCGCCTTTTCGGGTTACTTTCGGTGCAAAACGCGTAACGATACGTCTAGGAAACCGAAACACGCCCTTTCCATCATGCTTTCGTTTCCCTAGGCCCCAAACTCGCATCTGTAGCCGCATTCACACGTGCATTTTGCTTCTAAGACCCTTTGGGTGCCTTTTTGTACAAAATAGGGGTTTAAATACTAATAATAATTATGAGGGTTTCGTTCCAGTAACTTTAAATGGGGCTATGACCCTTCCTAAGCCCCAAACACGCATCTTTTGGGTGTATTCACACGTGTTTTGAGCACCGGAAGCCCCCTTTTCTTGCTTTATGTACATAGAAGGGTTTTAGAGGCATAAAGGAATCGATTCAGCAACTTTGAATGAGGCTATGACCCTTCCTAAGCCCCAAACACGCATCTTTTGGGTGTATTCACACATGTTTTGAGCTCCGGAAGTCCCCTTTTCTTGCATTATATACATAGAATGATTTTAGAGGCATAAAGGAATCGGTTCAGCAACTTTGAATGGGGCTATGACCCTTCCTAAGCCCCAAACACGCATCTTTTGGATGTATTCACACGTGTTTTGAGCACCTGAAGCCCCCTTTTCTTGCTTTATATACATAGAATGATTTTAGAGGCATAAAGGAATCGGTTCAGCAACTTTGAATGGGGCTATGACCTTTCCCAAGCCCCAAACACGCATCTTTGTGTGCATTCACAAGTGCAACATGCGTGTTCGGGCTCTTCCCGTGCAAATAGGCGTGCCGTTTTGGCTTTGAAGGCTGTAACATTCCAATTAAGACCATTACACATGCATGTATATATACATTTGCATATTCTAATCAGTTTATTATGCATAAAAATGGAATAATAAGAGATTGCAATATTTGCATCCTTACCTTGCAAAGGTTCCTGGCTTCCGCTTCCTAACAGGAAGAGGAAAAGGGAAAAAAAACGAAAATCGTGCATGTTTAATAATAATAATAATAATATGGGAGAAAATCGAAATTAGATCCGAAAGGTTGGTTGCTTTGCCTTTTTTTCCCCCCAAACGGGAGGAGGGCGGGGCCAAGGCGGGGCCACGCCCCCTGCAAAAGGCAGCGAGCAGAGAAGCCACGCCTCCTCCCTTGCGCGCTGACGTCATGCCAAGCCACGCCTCGCCCGCGAGATACAGCAAGGGAAAGCCGCGCCTCGTCGGTTGGGCGCTGACGTCACGCGGAGGCAAGTTTGCAAGAAGGGGAGCCACGCCTCCTCCGTTGCGCGCTGACGTCACGCCTCCACAAAGCTAGAAGTGGGAGGATATAGCCAGGCGCGCTGACGTCACGCGCATAAGGGAAGAAAAAGAAGACGAACCCTGTTAATGTAATCTTCTGGCTTTCTATCTTCTATAGAACTATATATGTATATATTGTGGGATTAACAGAACTCAAAAGCCACTGGACGAATTGACACCAAATTTGAACACAGCACACCTAACAACACAATGTATGTCCTTCACTCAAAAAAATTGATTTTGTCATTTGGGAGTTGTAGTTGCTGGGATTTATAGTTCGCCTACAATCAAAGAGCATTCTGAATCCCACCATCGATGGAATTGAACCAAACTGGGCACACAGTTCTCCCATGACCAACAGAAAATACTGGAAGGGTTTGGTGAGCACTGTCCTTTAGTTTTGGAGTTGTAGTTCACTTACATCCAGGGGCGGCTCGTCCATTACGCGAAGTAAGCGGTCGCAGAACACTTTTTTTTTGCCAGGGGTGCAGAGGCACCTGTGTAAATGCCCCTCGACCGCCACTTGAGGAGCACCCCCTCAGCTCACAACAGCCCTAGCAGTCCGGGGGGAGCCTCGGCTTTCTTGCCTCGCTGCCGGGCGATCCTCTTCCCAAAGGGGCCGGGCCCTTGAGCCTCGCCTAGCCCCTCTTGTTCCTGCTCCACCTGGCCACCGGGTGCGCGAGCAGAGCTGGCGCTCAATCGTTCTCCGCGTTCGATCCCTTCCCCATGACCGGCTCCCTTTCCCGATCCCCCGGCGCTCCACCCGCCGCCTCCTCCTCTCCCCAATCCACGGGTGGGCCAAGGGGCGGAGCCACCACGCCTGGCCCGCTTCGGGTCCAGAGGCGTGTCTGAAGACCCCAGCGTGCACACCAAAAGTCGCCTCTTCTCCTGACTTTCTCTTCAGCCATTGGGACCAAGAGAGAGAGAGAGAGAGAGCCCCTCCGGCTGGAGGTATCTCCCACCTCCGCTCCCTCCTTTGTTTTTGCGCCTACCTTCAGGAAAGGTGGGCATCTCCACCTCTCTCTCTCTCTCTCTCTCTCTCTTGTCCAATGGCTGAGGAGAAAGTCAGGAGAAGAGGTGACTTTTGGTGCACACGCCGGGGTCTTCAGGCAAAGCAGAACCCAAAGCAGGCCAGGCAAGGGAGAAGGTGCGGCAAGTGTAGCTACTGGGATGTATAGCTCACCTACAATCAAAGAGCATTCTGAACTCCACCAATGATGGAATTGAACCAAATATGACACACAGAACTCCACGTTGAACAAAAAATATATATCAATAACTGGTGGGGGGGGGGGCGCCAAAATACTGTTTGCTTACCGTTGAAAAATACCTAGGGCCGCCTCTGCCTACATCCAAAGATGGCTGTGGAAACAAACAATGATGGATCTGGACCAAACTACAAGAATACTCAATATAACCAAATGTGAACACTGGTGGAGTTTGGGGAAATAGAATCTTGACATTTGGGAGTTGTAGTTGCTGAGATTTGTAGTTCACCTACAATCACAGAGCATTCTGAACCCCACCAACGATAGAATTGGGCCAAACCTCCCACACAGAACCCCCATGTGGGCCACAGCAACGGGTGGCAGGGGACGGCTAGTCTATCTATATAAAAATGTAATGTTCGTTTGTGGGAGTAACAGAACTCAAAAACTCCTGGACGAATTGCCGCCAAATTTGGACACAAGACACCCCAAGGAGTGACCATCATTCAAACAAATTGATCTTGTCATTTGGGAGTTGTAGTTGCTGGGATTTATAGTTCACCTACAATCAAAGAGCATTCTAAACTCCACCAATGATGGAATTGGACCAAACATGGCAAACAGGACTCCCATGACCAACAGAAAACACTAGAAGGGTGTGGTGGGCATTGACCTTGAGTTTGGGAGTTGTAGTTCACCTACATCCAGAGAGCACTGTGGACTCAAACAATGACCTAACTTGGCACGAATATTCCATATGCCCAAATATACACACAGATGGTGTTTGGGGGAAATAGACCTAGAATCATAGAATCAAAGAGTTGGAAGAGACCTCATGGGCCATCCAGTCCAACCCCATTCTGCCAAGAAGCAGGAATATTGCATTCAAATCACCCCTGACAGATGGCCATCCAGCCTCTGTTTAAAAGCTTCCAAAGAAGGAGCCTCCACCACACTCCGGGGCAGAGAGTTCCACTGCTGAACGGCTCTCACAGTCAGGAAGTTCTTCCTCTTGTTCAGATGGAATCTCCTTTCTTGTAGTTTGAAGCCATTGTTTCGCATCCTAGTCTCCAGGGAAGCAGAAAACAAGCTTGCTCCCTCCTCCCTGTGACTTCCTCTCACATATTTATACATGGCTATCATATCTCCTCTCAGCCTTCTCTTCTTCAGGCTAAACATGCCCAGCTCCTTAAGCCGCTCTTCATAGGGCTTGTTCTCCAGACCCTTGATCATTTTATTCGCCCTCCTCTGGACACATTCCAGCTTGTCAATATCTCTCTTGAATTGTGGTGCCCAGAACTAGACACAGTGTGATTCCAGGTGTGGTCTGACCAAGGCAGAATAGAGGGGTAGCATGACTTCCCAAGATCTCTAGACATTATACTCGTATTGATGCAGGCCAAAATTCCATTGGCTGTTTTTTTGCTGCCACATCACATTGTTGGCTCATGTTTAACTTGTTGTCCACGAGGACTCCAAGATCTTTTTCACACGTACTGCTCTCGAGCCAGGCATTGTCCCCCATTATGTATCTTTGCATTTTGTTTTTTCTGCCTAAGTCTGACTTGGCCACGGTAGTCCACGCTCTTGTCACATCCCGCCTAGACTACTGCAACGCTCTCTACGTGGGGCTGCCCTTGAAGACGGCCCGGAAGCTTCAATTAGTCCAACGTGCGGCAGCCATGATTCTAACAGGAGCAGAGCGCAGGGAGCACACAACCCCCCTGTTGCGCCAGCTCCATTGGCTGCCGATTTGCTACCGGGCTCAATTCAAGGTGTTGGCATTGGCCTATAAAGCCCTAAACGGTTCCGGCCCAAGATACCTTTCCGACCGCATCTCGGCCTATGAACCCACCAGGACTTTGAGATCTTCCGGGGAGGCCCTGCTCTCGATCCCGCCGGCTTCTCAAGCACGGTTGGCGGGGACGAGAGATAGGGCCTTCTCGGTGGTGGCTCCTCGGCTGTGGAAGCCCTTCCTACAGACATTAGGCTGGCGCCATCTCTCATGGCATTCCGAAGAAAGTTGAAGACCTGGATGTTTGTGCAGGCGTTTGAGTAATTTAGTGCAATCTGGTAATGGAACATAGGAATGGAACAATGGACGACGAACCTGGACTACGCTTGGATGATGATAAGATTGGGTACGGTTGTTTTTTTGTAATAATTGTGCATTGTAATTGCTTATTGGTAATTTATGGATAATGTGTTAAGTCAATTGTTATATGTTGTATGGAACCACTGCTGTTTCTACTGTTTTTACTGTTTGTGAACCGCTGTGAGTCGCCTTCGGGCTTGAGATACAGCGGTATATAAGCAAAGTAAATAAATAAATAAATAAATAAATAAATAAGTGGAGTATCTTGCATTTGTCCCTGTTGAACTTCATTTTGTTAGTTTTGGCCCATCATCTCTCTAATCTGTCAAGATCGTTTTGAATCCCGCTCCTGTCCTCTGGAGTATTGGCTATCCCTCCCAATTTGGTGTCGTCTGCAAACTTGATGATCATGCCTTCTAGCCCTTCATCTAAGTCATTAATAAAGATGTTGAACAGGACCGGGCCCAAGATGGTACCTTGTGGCACTCCACTCGTCACCTTCCAAGTCTCCCAGCCTTCTGTATCCCCAGAAGGGAGTCTCTCATGCGGTATCAGCCATGGCTTGATATTCCGGGTTTGAGCCTGCCACTTTTGGACTCTTGTTTGCAGAGGTGTTCCTGTGAGTATCTCTCTCGATCTTAGGAAGGTATTTCTTGATTTTTTTAAATTAATAAGATTATCCCTTCTCAGTCAAAGAAGAAGCCGACCCAAAAGGTTTTAAAATTCATTTATTGTAATTTTAATTTTTTGTATAAAACAAAGAGAGTTAACAGAGGTCTCGTTCTCTCAATCTCTTTGTCTCTCATTCACAAACACACAAACATTCGTGCAAACACCACAATCACAAAAGATGTGCTTCAAAATCCATATATTGAATGTGCTTCTTTCTGCATTCTTTTCTTTATTTCCTGGAAGAAGAAGAAGAAGAAGAAGAAGAAGAAGAAGAAGAAGAAGAAGAAGAAGAAGAAGAAGAAAGAGAGAAAATTAAAGCTTTAAATGATGGCAAGGACTATTGGTTACTTTTGATGCACTATTCATCACTTTTGATGCACTATTGGTCATTTGTATGCATTATTCATCACTTTCGATGCACTATTTATTTATTTATTTACTACATTTTTACCCCACCTTTCTCACTCCTCAGAGGACTCAAGGTGGCTTACAACTCCAGCAAGAATTCAATGCTGGTAAAATTAGACCAGCTAGATGCACTGTTGATCACTAGATGCACTACTGGTCATTTTCAATGCACCATTAGTTACTATGGATGCACTATTAGACCATTTAGATGCCCTATTGGATACTAGATGCACTATAGGTCATTTGTATGCACTATTGGTCACTTTCAATGCACTAGATGCACTATTAGACTATTTAGATGCACTATTAGACCAGCTAGATGCACTGTTGGTCACTAGATGCACCATTGGTCATTTTCAATGCATCATTAGTTACTATGCATGCACTATTAGACCATTTAGATGCACTACTGGATATTAGCTGCACTATAGGTCATCTGTATGCACTATTGGTCATTTTCAATGCACTAGACACTAGATGCACTATTAGACTATTTAGATGCACTATTAGACCAGCTACATGCACTGTTGGGCACTAGATGCACTATTGGTCACTTTGGTTGCGCTATTAGACCATTTAGATGCACTATTGGTCAGTTTGGGTGCAATATGGATCCTTGGATGCAGCATTGGTCACTTTGGGCCCACCATTTAACACTTGGGGTGCACTTTTGGTTCCTTTTGGTGCACTGTTAGTTCATTTGGATGCACTATTTGTCACTCTGGATGCACTATTAGACCATCTAGATACACTGTTGGGCACTAGATGCATCATTGGTCACTTTGGATGCACTGTTGCTCACTAGGTGCACCACTGGTTGCTTTAGATGCACTATTAAATGTTCAGATGCACTATTGGACCCTTTGGGTGCACTATTGATCATTAGGGTGCACTATTGGACACTTTGTATACACGACTGGTCACTTTGGGTGCACTATTGGATACTTTAGATGTACTGTTGGTCACTTTGGATGCACTATTGGTCACTAGGTGACTGTTGATTGCTTTAGATGCAATATTAGAACACTCATGCACCATTGGTCGCACTATTTGTTACTTTGGATATAGTATTACTTACTCTGAATGCATTATTGGTCACTTTGGATGCACTATTGGAGACTTTATATGCACTATCGGCCACTAGATGCATCATTGGTTGCTTTTGTCACTTTGGATGCACTATTGGTCACTAGATGTACCATTGGTTGCTTTAAATGCACTATTAGACCATTCGGATGCATTATACTATTGGTCACACTATTTGTTACTTTGGATACAGTATTAGTTACTCTGGATGCACTATTGGTCACACTATTTGTTACTTTGGATGCACTGTTGCGTTATTGGTCACACTATTGGTCACATTGGATGCACTATTGGGCACTTTGGATGCACTATTAGAGCCTCTAGGTATGGGCAGACTTTGGTCCACCAGGTGTTTTGGACTTCAACTCCCACAATTCCTAACAATCTTTAGGCTGTTAGGAGTTGTGGGAGTTGAAGTTCAAAACACCGGGAGGAAAGCCAAAGTTTGCCCATGTTTGATCTAGATGCACTATTTGACCCTTTGGACAATATTCCTAGTAACACGCTGGGTCTCAATAGTCACCTCACTCCTTCCCCAGGTACTTCCTCATGATGCTGTGGACATCATCCTCTTTCCCTTCCGCTTCCAACCGGTGGTCAGCCCTGGGTGCTTGACCCTCCGGCTGCCGGCCCTTGAAGGAAACCACAGATCCAGATGAGGAAGAGGAAGATGAGGAGTCGTCATCATCATCAGGCCCCAAAATGGTGTTTCCTTTGGGCCCCAAAACGGCCTTGACCTCGTCCTCGAAGTGTACGCTCATGGGCCGCTGACCATCCCGCCTGGGGCTCCTGGATGTCCGGATGGCCGGAGGGAAGTTATCCTGGTCCTCTGCCTCCCGTCCAAAGCGCCGACTTTGGAAAACCAAGGGCTTCATCCCCACCAATTCGCCCATTTCTTCGCCTCGCACGAGGGATTTGCATGGGTTGAATATTGGATTCTCTAGTTCCCTTATTTCCTCCAATGAACTCTTCCATGGTTTAGCTTGCAATGAAGCGGCCGTCTCACTTTGCACATTTTGCACGAGGGGTTTGCACGAGCCGTATAATGGTTTCTCCAATTCTCTCATTTCCTCCAACGAACTCTTCCATGGTTTAGCTTGCAAGGAAGTGGCTGTCTCATTTTGCACTCCTTGCACGAGGGGTTTGCACGAGGTGAATTTTGGATTCTCCGATTCTCTTATTTCTTCTAAAGAACTCCTCCAGGGCTTCATTTGCAAGGAAGCCGCTGACTCGTTTTGCACGAGGGGCTTGCACGGGCCATATACTGGATTTTGCAATTCCCTTATTTCTTCCAATGAACTCCTCCAGGGTTTCACTTGCGATGAGGTGGCTACCTCGTTTTGCACGTCCCGCATGAGGGATTCACACAAACCGAATTTCAGGGCTGGTTTGGGTTTCTCCAATTCTCTGATTTCTTCCATTGAACTCCTCCAGGGCTTTGCTTGCAATGAAGCAGCGGCCTCGCTTTGCACATTTTGCACGAGGGGTTTGCATGAACCAAATATCGGTTTCTCCAATTCTCTCATTTCCTCCAATGAACTCTTCCAGGGCTTTGGTTGCAATGAAGTGGCCACCTCGCTTTTAACATTTTGCACGTCTCGTGCAAGGGATTTGCACGATTCATCGTTTTCTTGCATCGGCCGGCTTCTTCTCAAAATGGAGGCTCCGGTTGTCTGATAAATAGGCAAATTGGGGCCGGAATCCCCCAATTCTTCTTCGTTCAACCGCTTCCGACGCAATTCCTCAACATATTCAGAAAGAGCAAAAGATGAGGCAGAGCGAGGCAATTTGCACAATTCCCCTCCTTCTCTTTGCATGTTTGCACCAATTTTTTCGGTGCCAATGCCAGAGACAGATCTCCTTTCCAGATCTTTGCTGCAATCAGAACAAAAATACAGATATAAATATTTGTGGCATGAACCAGACATAATGCAAATGCAAAGATTTATAAATACCATATATGAATTGAATTGTTTTTGTATTAATTAAATGTGGACTTTAGAAATGCAATATTTAAATGGAATTATTTGCATTAACTGTGGATATTCCATTGCAAAAAAAAGCCAAATGCATTGCAAAGGCAAAAAGGCTTGTAAATGCAATATTTGAATGGATTTTTTGGCATTAAATGTGGATGCTTCTTACATTCTGCAAATGCAAAAACGCAGTATTGAAATGGGATTTATTTTTGCATTAAATTCATTGCAAAAAGCCCATTGCAAATGCAAAAGGGCTCCTAAATGCTATATTTAAATTGATTAGCTTTTGCATTAACTTCATTGCAAAAGCCCAATGCATTGCAAATGCAAAATGCATATAAATGCAATATTTAAATTGAATTTTTTGCATTAAATGTGGATATTGGTTGCAAGAAGCCAAATATCTTAGAAAAGCAATTTCGAAATTGAATTATTTGCATTTTTTTTGGGGTCATGTCAGGAGGGACTGCAAGTCGCTCCTGGTGTGAGAGAATTGGCCGTCTGCAAGGACGTTGCCCAGGGGACGCCTGGATGATTTGATGTTTTTATCATCCTTGTGGGAGGCTTCTCTCATTAAATTTGGATATGCATTGCAAATGCAAAAAATGGAAATTCCATTGCAAGAAGCCAAATGCATTGCAAATGCAAAATGCATATAAATGCAATGCAATGGAATTTTACATTAAATACGGATATTCATTGCAAGAAGGCAAACACATTGCAAATGCAAAAGAACTACAAAAGTAATGTTTAAATGGATTTTTTGGCATTAAATTCATCGCAGAAGTCAAATGCATTACAATACAAAATTCACAGAAATGCAATATTTAAATGGATTTTGTGTGCATTAAATGTAGATATTCCATTGCAAAAAGCCCAACTCGCTGCAAATGCAAAAGGCTTGAATTTGCAGTATTTTGAATGAATTTAACATGAATCTTTGTTGCAAATGCAAAAAAGGATCCTAAATGCAATATTTAAATGGAATTATTGGCATCAAATAAAATGCATAGTATTGCAAGAAGCCAAATAAATTAGAAATGCAATATTTAAATGGATTTAAAAAAAAATAAATGTGGCTAATATGCCTAACATTGTGCAAATCCATGTTTTGGGAAAGAGGCGTTGGTTTATTCAGCTGCAAATAATAATAATAGGAATGCTGCAAGACTTCTCCTTCTCCTTCTTCTTCCTCCTCCTCCTCTTTTGCAAAACAATCCCCAGGCCCAGGTTGCCGAGGCAACCGCATCCCTGTTGCCAAGGATAAAATCTCTCCAGCCGCTCTTTTCTTATTTTCTTATGTATTTTCTTATATATATATATGGACTTTTTTTTTCAGTGGGTTTCTATGGCTCCCTCTCTTGCCTACTGAGATACACACACACACAATAAAAGTGTGTGTATATGTGGCGGAGGTGTCTACTTACACAGACAACCTCCCGCTTCCACAAAGAGCTACAACCCACAGAGCTGAAGAGCCACCAAAAGAGCTCTCTCCAAGAACATGTCAAGTTACAGCGAGCACCCCAGGGTTCCTTTCTTTTTCCATTGGTGTGGAATTTCCCAACCCTTGCCAATGTCCTCCCCAAACACCATACTGCCTCCCACCCACGTGAAGGCTTTCATTCAGGGAGAATTTCATCCTAGACGTTCTGTGTTTTCTCCAGAATGGGCACCCCAGGGTTCCTTTCTTTTTCCATTGGTGTAAAATTTCCCAACCCTTGCCAATGTCCTCCCCAAACACCATACTGCCTCCCCACCCACATGAAGGCTTTCATTCAGGGAGAATTTCATCCTAGACGTTCTGTGTTTTCTCCAGAATGGGCATCCCAGGGTTCCTTTCTTTCTCCATTGGTGTGGCATTTGTATGACCCCGCCCACTGCCTCTCCCTTAACCCTTTCCTTCCCTTTCCTGTGGCACACAGCAAACAGAGGAATTAATCGGCAACCGAACAGGAGGTTTCACTCACTTCCAGAGGCCACTGCGACCCCCACGAATGACGGACCTGGGCTAAACTTGGCACACAGACCCCCATGACCAACGAGATGTTTGGGGGAAATTGACCTTGATGGGAATTATTGTTCACCTGCATCCAGCAAAACTGTGACCCCCATTGACAATGGACTGGGACCAAGATTGGACAGAGAAGTCCTGTGACCAACTGAACATACTGCAGGGATTAGTGTGAATGGACCTTGATTTTGGGAGATGTAGTTCACCTCCATCCAGAGAAACAGTGACCCCCACCAATAATGGAACGGGATCAGAGGCGGCCCTAGGTAATTTTCAATGGTAAGCAAACAGTATTTTGGCGCCCCCCCCCCCAACCAATCATTGATATATATTTTCTGTTTGTCGTGGGAGTTCTGTGTGCCATATTTGGTTCAATTCCATCATTGGTGGAGTTCAGAATGCTCTTTGATTGTAGGTGAACTATACATCCCAGTAACTACACTTGCCGCACTTGCTCCCTTGCCTGGCCCGCTTTGGGTCCGGAGGCGTGCCTGAAGACCCCGGTGTGTGCACCAAAAGTCACCTCTTCTCCTGACTTTCTCCTCAGCCATTGGGACCAAGAGAGAGAGAGAGAGAGAGGTGGAGATGCCCACCTTTCCTGAAGGTAGGCGCAAAAACAAAGGAGGGAGCGGAGGTGGGAGATACCTCCAGCCGGAGGGGCTCTCTTTCTCTCTCTCTCTTGGTCCCAATGGCTGAAGAGAAAGTCAGGAGAAGAGGACTTTTGGTGCGCACGCTGGGGTCTTCAGACACGCCTCCGGACCCGAAGCGGGCCAGGCGCAGCGGCTCCCCCTTGGCCCACCCGCAGATTGGTGAGAGGAGAGGAGGCGGGTGGAGCGCCAGGGGATCGGGAAAGGGAGCCGGTCATGGGGAAGGGATCGAACGCGGAGAACGATTGAGTGCCGGCTCTGCTCGCGCACTCGGTGGCCGGGTGGAGCAGGAACGAGAGGGGCTAGGCGAGGCTCAAAGGCCCGGCCCCTTTGGGAAGAGGATCACCCGGCAGCGAGGTAAGAAAGCCGAGGCTCCCCCCGGACTGCTAGGGCTGTTGTGAGCTGAGGGGGCGCTCCTCAAGTGGCGGTCGAGGGGCATTTACAGAGGCGCCTCTGCGCCCCTGGCAAAAAAAAGTGTTCTGCGACCGCTTACTTTGCGTAATGGACGAGCCGCCCCTGAGTGGTATCAAACTTGGCACAGCGAAGCCCCATGATCAACTGAACATACTGCAGGGATTTGGGGGAATGGACCTTGGTTTTGGGAGCTGTAGTTCTCCTACATCCAGAAAGCTGTGAACTCAGCCGATATCAGAACTGGACTAAACTTGACACAGAGACTCAACATGGCCAATTGTGAATACTGGCAGGGTCTTGGGGTGATTGCTCTGGGAATCTGGGAGTTGTAGTTCTCCCTTTTCCAGAGAGCACTGAACCCAGCCGATGATAGATCTGGACCAAACTTGACACAGAGACTCAACATGGCCAACTGCGAATTTTGTCAGGGTTTGGGGGTGATTGCCCTGGGAATCTGGGAGTTGTAGTTCACCCTTATCGAGAGAACACTGCACCTAGCCGACGATGAATCTGGACCAAACTTAAATAATATTACCTAACATCCCAAAACAAGCACTGCCTTTTTCAAATGGCTCGGGCATTGCCGGGTCCTGAAGCACACACACACACATACACATAATAAAAGTGAAAAATGTGTATGTGTGCATGTGTATAGATTGTATAAAACATATAAAAACAAAAATGTAAATATATACTTATATATAATATTTGAAATATAAATATGTAAAAATGTATGCTAATGTAATCATATAAAATGTATACAATGTATAAATATATACATATATGAAATAAAATATATTTAATAATAAATAATAAAAATATAAAAATAAATAAAATAAATATTAATCAGAATATAATTTAAATTAAAATATAAAATATTTGGCAGAGGGCTGCTTTCTGACCACACACACACATGCATATACACATATAAAATATTAAATATTCAAATATATTCAAATATGTTCAAATCTATCCCAATATGAATAGATGACCTGAGGTCACTCCAGGTGGGGGATGGGGCTGACCGCCAGGAGTAGACACTTCCCTCTGGACCCAGGTTCAGGCTGATCGAAGAGGAGCCCACGCTTTCCCTAAAAGGAGGAAATCAATCCATCAATCAATATAATCAATCAATCAATCAATCAATCAATCAATCAATATATTGACCATTCGTACTTACGTGTCCATTCTGGATGTCAACGATTCCTTGGCTGTGTGGACGCTGCAGAAAGGGACAGAAAGCAATGATTGATTGCATATTGATTATTGATCAGTATTGGGTTATTGATCAGTATTGGATATTGATCATTGGTTGACATTAGATATTAATTATTCATCAGTTGGATATCGATTATGGATTGGTTTTGGTTATGGATTATTCACCAGTATTGGATATTGATCATTGGTTGGTACTGGATATTGATTATTCATCACTATTGGGTATTGATTATTGGTTGCTATTAGAGATTGATTATTCATCATATTGGATATTGATTTTTTTTATCAGTACTGGATATTGATCATTGGTTGGTATTGGATATTGTACTTTCAAAGGCTTTAATGGCCAGAATCACTGGGTTGTTGTAGGTTTTTCAGGCTGTATGGCCGTGTTCTAGATCAGGGATCCAGAAACTTTTTAAACAGAGGGCCAGGTCACAGTCTCTCAAACAGTTGGAGGGCTGGATTATCATTTGAAAAAAGCTCACCCCACTCATAGAATAATAGAATTATAGAGTTGGAAGAGACCTCGTGGGCCATCCGGTCCAACCCCCTGCCAAGAAGCAGGAAAATTGCATTCAAAGCACCCCGACAGATGGCCATCCAGCCTCTGCTCATCAGCCTCCAAAGAAGGAGCCTCCACCACACTCTGGGGCAGAGAGTTCCACTGCTGAACAGTTCTCACAGTCAGGAAGTTCTTCCTCGTGATCAGATGGAATCTCCTTTTTTGTAGTTTGAAGCCATTGTTTATTTACTTTATTTATTTACTTTATTTGTATACCGCAGTTTCTCAGCCCGTAGGCGACTCAACGCGGTTAACAACAAGAGCAAGAATTCAATACTAACAACATACACTATTGTTCCGTGTCCTAGTCTCCAGGGCAGAAGAAAACAAGCTTGCTCCCTCCTTCAAATGACGACTTCTCACATACTCATACATGGCTATCATATCTCCTCTCAGCCTTCTCTTCTTCAGGCTAAACATGCCCAGTTCTTTAAGCCACTTCTCATAGGACTTGTTCTCCAGACCCTTGATCATTTTAGTCGCCCTCCTCTGGACACATTCCAGCTTGTCAATATCTCTCTTCAATTGTGGTGCCCAGAATTGGACACAGTGTGATTCCAGGTGTGGTCTGACCAAGGCAGAATAGAGGGGTAGCATGACTTCCCAAGATCTCTAGACATTATACTCGTATTGATGCAGGCCAAAATCCCATTGGCTGTTTTTTTGCCACCGCATGACACTGTTGGCTCATGTTTAACTTGTTGTCCACAAGGACTATAATATCTTTTTCACACGTACTGCTTTCGAGCCATGCATTGTCCCCCATTCTGTATCTTTGCATTTCATTTCTCTTCCTAAGTGGAGTATCTTGCATTTGTCCCTGTTGAACTTCATTTTGTTAATTTTGGCCCATCTCTCTAATCTGTTAAGACCGTTTTGAATCCTGCTCCTGTCCTCTGGAGTATTGGCTATCCCTCCCAATTTGGTGTCGCCTGCAAACTTGATGATCATGTCTTCTAAGCCTTCATCTAAGACATTAATAAAGATGCTTAACAGGACCGGGCCCAGGACAGAACCCTGCGGCACTCTGCTCGTCACTTCTTTCCAGGATGAAGAGGAAGCATTGGTGAGCACCCTCTGGGTTCGTCCATTTAACCAATTACAGATCCACCTCACCGTAGTTTTGCCTAGCCCACATTGGACTAGTTTCCTTGCCAGAAGGTCATGGGGGACCTTGTCGAAGGCCTTACTGAAATCCAGGTACGCTACATCCACGGCATTCCCCGCATCTATCTAGCTTGTAACTCTATCGAAAAAAGAGATCACATTAGTCTGGCATGACTTGTTTTTGATAAATCCATGGTGACTATTAGCGATGACTGCATTTGTTTCTAAGTGTTTGCACTTCCTTAACAATCTTTTCCAGAATCTTGCCTGGCATCGACGTGAGGCTGACCAGATGGTAATTGTTTGGGTCGTCCTTTTTTCCCTTCTTGAAGATTGGGACCACGTTTGCCCTCCTCCAATCTGCTGGGATGTCTCCCGTTCTCCAAGAACTCTTAAAGATGATTGCCAGTGGTTCTAAAATCACTTCTGCTAGTTCCCTCAATACTCTTGGGTGTAGTTGATCTGGCCCTGGAGATTTGAATTCATTTAAAGTGGCCAGGTATTCCTGGACGACTTGTTTCCTATTTGGGGTTGGATTTCCCCTAATTCCTCGTCCACTCCATCTTGCTAAGGTTGAGGATGATTTTCTTTTTGTGAGAAGACTGAGGCAAAGAAGGCATTAAGTAGTTCTGCCTTTTCACTATCCCCTGTCAGCATTTCCCCATCTTCTCTTCGCAAAGGCCCTATCGCCTCCTTGTTCTTCCTTTTTCTACCAACATAAGCAAATAAGCTCTTTTTATTGCTTTTAATGTCCGTGGCAAGCCTGAGCTCATTTTGTGCTTTAGCCTTGTGAACCTTTTCCCTACAGGAGTTGGCTATTTGTTTGAATTCTTCTTTGGTGATTTCTCCCTTTTTCCACTTCTTGTGCATGTCTCTTTTGAGTCTTAGCCAAGTTAGAAGTTCTTTGGACATCCATTCTGGCTTTTTTCTTTTTGTGTGATTTTTTTCTTTGTTTAATAATAATAATAATAATAATAATAATAATAATAATAATGTAATAACTTTTATACCCCGCCTCCATTTCCCCAAAGGGGAGCTCAATATTGGATATTTATTGATCAGTATTAAATACAGATTATTGATCAACATTGGATATTGATTATTGATAGGTTATTGGATATTGATGGAGCCCCCGGTGGCACAGTGGGTTAAAGCCCTGTGCCAGCAGGACTGAAGACCAACAGGTTGCAGGTTCGAATCCGGGGAGAGGTGGATGAGCTCCCTCTATCAGCTCCAGCTCCTCATGCGGGGACATGAGAGAAGCCTCCCACAAGGATGATAAAACATCAAAAAATCATCCAGGCGTCCCCTGGGCAACGTCCTTGCAGACGGCCAATTCTCTCACACCAGAAGTTACTTGCAGTTTCTCAGGTCGCTCCTGACACGACAAAACAACAACAACAAAAACTGGATACTGATTAAGCTTCCCACCTTTCCGTATCACTTTCGTCTTCATCGCTTGATCTCACTTCTTCCAGAGCAGCTTGCAAATCCGCAATGCGTCGAATAGCTGTCTCCAGGTCTGCTTGAAGCGTCTGCCTCACCGCCGATAATTCATCTATTTGCTTCTCCTAGAAAATAATTAATCATAATCATGATAATAATGCAGGAGTATATTGACCTTTGTTGTCACAGCATCACACAATAATTGCATAATAATAATATAAATAAAAGAAATGCATCATATATATATATATATATATATATATATATATATATATATATAATCTGTACATGGATGACCTGAAGCTGTATGGGAAAACCGAAACTGAAATCCAGTGTCTGACTAACACTATCCAAATCTTTAGCACTGATATCGGTATGGAGTTTGGTTTGGACAAATGTTCAACAGTAGGAAAAATAATTTAAAGTGATGGCCAAGCCATAAAGTGTCACCAGCCAGAGGCCTATAAATATCTGGGCATACCACATAAAAAATGAACATGTGAAAACTGTGGTCAGCAAAGAATACATTCAAAGGGTCAGAAAAATTCTCAAAAGCAAGCTCAATGGAGGCAATACCATCAAGGCCATAAACACCTGGGCCATACCTATCATAAGATATACTACTGGCATCATAAACTGGATGCAGGCAGAATTGGACAATTTGGACAGAAAAACAAGAAAACTCATGACCATTCATAATTCATTACATCCTCGCAGAGATGTTGACCAGCTATATCTGCCTAGAAGGTCTAATGGCAGAGGGCTTTTCCAAGTCAAACAAGCAGTTGAAGAAGAAAAACACGCTCTGGCAGAATATTTATTATTTATTTATTTACAGCATTTATATTCTGCTCTTCGCACCCTGCAGGGGACTCAGGGCAGATCACAATGCACATATACATGACAAACATTCAATGCCATAGACACACAACATATATAGACAGAGACACAGAGGCTATTTAACATTCCAGCTTCATGAGGGTATGCTTTTTTATTTCCGTCCACTGGGGGCGCTGTTGCTTCACCATCCACTTGTGACACCAATTTTTTTTTTGGTCGTGTCAAGAGTAACTTGAGAAACTGCAAGTCGCTCCTGGTGTGAGAGAATTGGCCGTCTGCAAGGACGTTGCCCGGGGACACCTGAATGATTTGATGTTTTTATCATCTTGTGGGAGGCTTCTCTCATGTCCCCGCGTGAGGAGCTGGAGCTGATAGAGGGAGCTCATCCGCCTCTCCCCGGATTCAAACCTGCGACCTGTCGGTCTTCAGTCCTGCCGGCACAGGGGTTTAACCCACTGCGCCACTGGGGGCTCTGTGACACCAATGGAGTACTTCCTCATTCTTTGCATGCTGTTGGAGAGTTTTATGGCATCATAAATTAGTTAAATTAGCCTCCCTGCATAAGCAGTACCTACATTTCCTACTTGACAGATGCTGCAAAGGTCGACAGCAAGCTAGACAAATGGCCGGAAGCTCATTCCGACCTAGGCTGGCTTCGAACTCATGACCCCTCGGTCAATAGTGATTTTAATGCAGCTCACTCCCAACCAACTGCGCCACAACCTGGTCCTCCAAGGAAAGCCAAGAACCTGCTTTAATTGAAGTCAATCATCGGAAACTTCTCAAAGCACAGCAGACAAAGAATCAGTACAAGAAAACTGCACTCCAAACCAGAGCTGACAGCTGGCACAACAAAGCATTGCATGGGCAGTTCCTTGACAAAATTGAAGGAAAAGTTGATAAGGAGAAGACCTGGTTATGGCTCACGAATGGAGAAGAAGGAGACAGAAGGCCTGATTCTTGCAGCCCAGGAGCAAGCCATCAGAACAAACGCCATTAAGGCCAGGATTGAAAAATCAGTTGCTGACCCAAAATGCAGACTGTGCAAGGAAGCTGATAAAACCATGGATCATATCCTCAACTGCTGCAAGAAAATCGCACAGACTACAAACAGAGGCACAACTCTGTGGCTCAAATGATTCATTGGAACTTAGGTCACAAGCACTACCTGCCAGTAGGAAAGAACTTGAGGAATCATAAACCTGCAAAGGGAGTGGAAAATGAACATGCAAAAATACTGTGGGACTTTTGAATCCAGACTGACAAAGTTTTGGAACACAATACACCAGACGTCATGATTGTGGAAAAGAAAAAAAGTTTGTGTTATTGATGTCGCCATATCAAGTGACAGCCGCATTGAGGAAAAACAACAGGAAAAACTCAGCCATTATCAGGACCTCAAAATCAAACTGCAAAGGCTCTGGCATAAACCAGTACAGGTGGTCCCAGTGGTCATTGCCGCACTGGGTGCCGTGCCAAAAGATCTCAGCTGGCATTTGGAAACAATACAAATTGACAAAATCACGACCTGTCAACTGCAAAAGGCAACCTGATTTGGATCTGCACGCATCATTCAAAAATATATCACATGCTTGGGGAGTGTTCGACTTGTGATTTTGTGATACGAAATCCAGCATATAGATCTCGTTTGCTGTGACATACTGTGTTTTTGTGTCAGTAAAATAATAATAATAATGCAGGATCGTATTGGCCATTGTTGCTGCAATGTCACATAATAATTGCTTATTATTATTAATAATAACAACAATAATAATGCGTGTCTGCCTACCATCTGGACCCTTTTGTGCTGAGCCTGGTTCTCCCTGTCCTGCAATTCCTGCAGCTGGGCCTTCATCTCCTCCATGCGCTTCCACGCATACTCCGCATTCTCTTTCTCTCTCCGCTCGCTTTCCTTCCCTCGTTCAGTCTCTTCTCCCAAACGGATCAGGCTGTCCCTCAAGCGCAAGACCAGCATCTGGAAGAGTGGAAGGAAGAGACAAAGATAGATAGATAGATAGATAGATAGATAGATAGATAGATAGATAGATAGATAGATCCATAAATAGAGAGATGGATGGATAAATGGATAGATACATAGTTAGTTAGATTGATGGATAGATGGATGAATATATATATATATATAGATGGATGGATAGATAGATGGACTGTTATATGTTATGTTTTAAACTGTGTTTTTGTTGGTGGATTTTGTAGTACGTCCTGGATTTGTTTCCACTTGTAAGCTGCCAGAATCCCTTCTGAGAGATGGTGATGGGGTATAAAAATTAAGTTGCTGTTATTGTTATTGTTATTGTTGTTGTTGTTGTTGTTGTTATTATTGGGTTGTTGTTGGTTTTTTCGGGCTATATGACCATGGTCTAGAGGCATTCTCTCCTGACGTTTTGCCTGCATCTATGGCAAGCATCCTCAGAGGTAGTGAGGATGCTTGCCATAGATGCAGGTGAAACGTCAGGAGAGAATGCCTCTAGACCATGGTCATATAGCCCGAAAAAACCTACAACAACCCAGTGATTCCGGCCATGAAAGCCTTCAACAATACATCATTATTATTATTATTATTATTATTATTATTATTATTATTGGCTAGATGGATGCATGGATGAATAGATGGAAGGATGGGTGGATGGATGGAAAGATGGATGGATAGATAGATAGATAGATAGATAGATAGATAGATAGATAGATGGATAGATAGCTCACTAGATAGGTAGAGAGATAGAGATATATAAAGGTAATAATAATAATAATAGATAGAAGATAAATATTTAAATAGGTTATCTAGCTATCTAGCCATCTGATTAAAAAATGGATGGATGGATGGATGGATAGATTGATGGACAGATAGATAGATGAATAGTTAGATGAATAGATGAATGTGTAGATAGATGAAGATAGATCAATATAAAGATGATAATAATAGATGGACAGATAGATACATAGTTACATGGATAGATAAAAATTTAGATAATATAGTAATAATAATAATATAAATATAATAATATAGTCCATATAGTAACAATGGGACCCCTAGACCAACCCTCCCTTTCTCTCTCTCTCTCTCTCTCTCTCTCTCTCTCTATATATATATATATATATATATATATGTATGTGTATATATATACAATACAATTATAATTATAATGGGGGTGCTGAAGGCCACCTAGGCTGACCTCAAGGCGCTTGACCTGGACATCCTGGAAGGCAGCCTTGTTTTCTTGTTCACGGATCAGGGCCTCCTGCCGGCTCACGATTGACCTCTCCGGTGATGACCCTTGACTCCAGTGACCCTTCAGCTGGGACTCCAAGGCCTGCAGCTGAAAAAGAAGGAAGGGGTAAAACAGTAATGGACGGGACTCCGTATCCAGGGGACTCTGTTCTGCCTGGAGACAAGCATTTTACTTCCATATCTATCTATCTACCGTATCTATCTTGGGAACCCGGCGGTGCCCAGGTTGAGAAAGGCATTGTTTGTTTTTTGCAGTTTGGTAATGTCTAATACTGTTTATTAGAAAAAAGCCAGTCTTTCCTTTTTTTTTTTTAATGAATGCTCTCAATAAAAAATGCATAAGGATGTGGGTGAATTGCAATTCCCAGACCCTGCCATTATTCAAAGTTGGCCATGTTGAGTCTGTATGCAAAGAGTAGTCGAGATCCAATATCTGCTGGGTTCAGTGATATCCATATAAGGGTATATATTGTCATCTCTTTCATACCTCATCCAGCTGGCCAGGAACCCAGACCAGGTACCATCTGAAGTCCCTGCCCTCTCCTGCTGCCAGAATACCAGGTATCATCTTGATCTGACCCAAGTTACCTATCCGAACGCATCTCCGCCTATGAACCCACTAGGACTTGAAGATCTTCTGGGGAGGCCCTGCTCTCGATCCCGCCTGCAACTCAGGCACGGTTGGCGGGGACGAGGGACAGGGCCTTCTTGGTGGTGGCCCCTCGGCTGTGGAACACCCTACCCTCAGACATCAGATCAGCTCCCTCATTAATGGCATTTCGGAAGAAAGTGAAAACCTGGTTATTTGAACAGGCGTTTGAATAGGCAGTGCAATGAATTACAATGAATTATAGGAAATCGGAACAACGGATGACGAGCTTGGATTATGATTTTAGTTATGAGACGCTAGTGAGTTGTTTATTGATGTTTATTGATGGTTATTGATGTTAATTGCTTAGTGTATTATTGTGTTAATTGTTTTTTAAATGGCTGTATGATGTTTGCATTGAATTTTTGCCGCTGCTTGTTGTTAACCGCTCTGAGTCGCCTAATGGCTGAGAAGAGCGGTATACAAATAAAGTAAATAAATAAATAAACTACAACTCCCAAATTCCCAGCCAGTAATCAGAGTTGCCCATGTTGGCTCTGTGTGCAAAGTTTGGTTCAGATCTGTCGTCAGCTGGGTTCAGTGCTCTATGGATAATGTTGAACTACAACTCCCGGATTCCCAGGGCAATCATGCCCCAATCTTGCCAGTATGTACAGTTTTCCATCTATATAAATAACAATGTAATGTTTGTTTGTGGGATTAACAGAACTCAAAAACCACTGGACGAATTGACACCAAATTTGGACAGCATACACCTAACAATCCAATGTATGTCTTTCACTCAAAAAAATTGATTTTGTCATTTGGGAGTTGTAGTTGCTGGGATTACTAGTTCACCTACAATCAAAGAGCATTCTGAACTCCACCAATGATGGAATTGAACCAAACGTGGAATACAGGACTCCCACGACCAACAGAAAACACTAGAAGGGTTTGGTGGACCTTGACCTTGAGTTAGGGAGTTGTAGTTCACCCACATCCAGAGAGCACTGTGGACTCGAACAATGATAGATCTGGATCAAACTTGGCACGAATATTCCATATGGCCAAATATGAACATGGAATTTGGGGAAAATAGACCTTGACATTTGGGACTTGTAGTTACTGGGATTCATAGTTCACCTACAATCAAAGAGCATTCTGAACTCCACCAATGATGGAATTGAACCAAACATGGCATACAGGACTCCTATGACCAACAGAAAACACTAGAAGTGTTTGGTGGGCATTGACCTTGAGTTTGGACCTTGAGTCCAGGCATTTTTTCTGCCTGGAACACAGACCCGATGTTGGGTCTGTGTTCCAAGTTTGGTCCAGATCCATCGTTGGCTGGGTTCACATTGCTCTCTGGATGTAGGTGAACTACAAGTCTTATAAATCAAGGTCAATTCCCCCCAACCTGATCATGGGGGTCCTGCGTGACAAATGGGGTCCACGTCTGTTATGTAAGGGGTTCATGATTACCCAGTAATCAAAGTTGCCCATGATAGCGTGAGCCTGCCAAGGGAGGAGCAGCACCGCGCGGCCTACTCACGCGTAAAGCACCTACTCACGCTGCCCATCGGGCCTGATGGATAGCGTGAACCAGCCAAGGGAGGGGCAGTGTGTGTGGGGGGGCGCTCCTCCTCCGCGGGCTGGATAAATGCCCTTGGCGGGCCGGAAGTGGCCCGCGAGCCGTAGTTTGAGGACCCCTGATCTACAGAGACGCTTGCTGGAACACCCCAGCAAGCGAGAGTCCAAAAGTGGCAGGCTCAAACCCAGAACCACAATGAATGGCTGATACCAAATGAGAGACTCCCCCCTGGGCACACAGAAAATTGGACGACTTGGAAGGCGCTGAACAGACTGCGCTCTGGCACCACGAAATGCAGAGCCAACCTTAAGAAATGAGGCTACAAAGTGGAATCCACGACATGCGAGTGCGGAGAGGAGCAAACCACTGACCACCTGCTGCAATGCAACCTGAGCCCTGCCACATGCACAATGGAGGACCTCCTTGCAGCAACACCAGAGGCACTCCAAGTGGCCAGATACTGGTCAAAGGACATCAACTGCCAAGCTTGCAAACTTTGTGTTTTGTCTGTTTGTTTGTTTTGTTAAAAATGTAATACAACTGTCTGGTTGCTCCTGACATGATAAATAAATAAAAATCTCTTCTGCGGCGTAACTGTTTTTGACATATAAGGCAACTCTTCCTCCTCTCCCTTTTGTTATGTTTCTGTGAAAGAGGTTCTAGCCCTCAGCAATAGCAGTCATCCCACCAGGTTTCAGTGATGCTTATGATATTGTAAGTGTGGCTAAAAGTTGGAACCACACAGGCACACTTTTCAAAGGATCACAAATTATTTCTGAGCTCTCAGAACAAAGCTAAAACAGTGTCATGTACAGGTGGTCTCTGAATACAGGTGAACTACAACTCCCAAATCTAAGGGAAATCACCCCTATACCCTGCCTATATGTACAGTCGGCCATGCTGGGTCTGTGTGCCAAGTTTGGTCCAGATCAGGGATTTCTGAATAAGGGTGAACTACCAATCACAAAATCAAGGTCAATTCCCACATACCCCTGCAGTATGTTCTGTTTGCCAGGGATGTCTGTGTGCTAAGTTTGGTCCAGGTCCGTCATTCATGTGGGTCACAGTGGTCTACGGAAGCCAAATCAGGTGAAGGTACTGCAGATCCCATCGTCTGTGGTCTGTCCTTCCCCAAACCGCACCAGGATGTAAAGTGGGTCATGGGGGCGGGGGGTGTCTGTGTGCCAAGTTTGGTCCAGGTCCATTATCAGTGGGGTTCAGTGCAGGTGAACTACAACTTCCATCCTGTTGAGTCAGTCCCCACCTCCCTCCAGTATGTTCGGTTGCTGATCAATTCCTCTGTGTTTGCCGTGTGCCATAGGAAAGGGTAGGAAGGGGTTAAGGGAGAGGCAGTGGGCGGGATCATGCAAATTCTACAGCAGTAGATAGAGTAAGGAACACTGGGATGAGGCACTCACTATCACCTGCAATGCTTTTGGTGTCTCCTCAGCACTGTGGGTTAAAGCTGTTTGTGGAGGTAGGAGGCTGTCTGTGTAAGTCCCACACACAAACATATAGATTTTCTTATTTGTGCAGATAGATACATACATACATACATACATATCATTATATATCATATTATTATAATATTGTATTATATTATATATTATATTATTATATAAAATATCATATCACATGTTATTATTATATATATTATTATGTATTTATATTGTTATAATTAGCATATGTTACATTATAATAGTAATTATTTATTTTAATATATTATATTATATTATTATTTATTATATACTAGCCGTCCCCTGCCACGCGTTGCTGTGGCCCACTCTGGTGGTCATGGGGGTTCTGTGTGGGAGGTTTGACCCAATTCTGTCGTTTGTGGGGTTCAGAATGCTCTTTGATTGTAGGTGAACTATAAATCCCAGAAACTACAACTGTCAAATGTGAATGTCTATTTCCCCCAAACTCCATCTGTGTTCATATTTGGGCATATGGAATATTTGTGCCAAGTTTGGTCCAGATCCATCATTGTTTGAGTCCACAGTGGTCTCTAGATGTAGGTGAACTACAACTCCCAAACTCAAGGTCAATGCCCACCAAACCCTTCTAGTGTTTTCTGTTGGTCATGGGAGTCCTGTGTGTCACCTTTAGTTCAATTCCATCGTTGGTGGAGTTCAGAATGCTCTTTGATTGTAGGTGAACTATAAATCCCAGTAACTCCAACTCCCAAATGACAAAATCAAAAAATTTTGAGTGAAGGACATACATTGGGTTGTTAGGTGTATCGTGTCCAAATTTGGTGTCAATTCCCCCAGTGGTTTTTGAGTTCTGATGGTATCACAAACGAACATTACATTTTTATTTATATAGATGATATTATTATGTATTTATATTGTTATAATTAGTATATTGTTACATTATAATAATAATTATTTATTTTAATATATTATTATTATTATTATTATTATTATTATTATTATTATCCTTACTTTTTCCTGAATGTTTTGTTTTTCTTTCTTCAAGTCTTCCAGCTGCGTCTGAAGATCCTGGATTTGGGAAATATCCTTGGCGGACTAAATAGACACAAACATAAACATCAGAAAAAGAACAAAAACAACAATATAAACAACAACCAAGAAGGAATGCGCCACTAAACCCCTCCCAACAGATCGCCATTCAAAGCTGTAATAACAATAATACAATACAATAAATATAATATAATATATACTATAATAATATATAATATAGTATAGTAATAGTAATAATATATAATATAGTAATATATAATATAGTATATAATATAGTAATAATAATAATATATAATATAGTAATATATAATATAGTAATAATATAACGTAATACAAAATATAATAACGTATACTATAAGAATATAAGACAATATATATTTATTTATTATATCATATATTTATTGCATGTTATTATATTATTTGAAAAACAACAAGATGAGTCCACAGCAGACAAGATCACTCTGCTGGCTGTTGTACTGGATCACACGTGTCTAGGACTGTGTGATGTATCGGCAAATAATGCGTGCAGCTCCCAGTAAGGTGGCCTTTTGCAGCTGGCAGATGGTAATTTTGGCAGCGCCGATTGTGTTTAAGTGCAGGCCAAGGTCTTTAGGCACTGCACCCAGTGTGCCGATCACCACTGGGACCACCTTGACTGGCTTGTGCCAGAGTCTTTGCAGTTCAATCTTTAAATCCTCATATCGTGGCAGCTTTTCCAGTTGTTTCCCTTCAATCCTGCCATCACCTGGGATTGCAACATCAATGATCCATACTTTGTGAGGTCAGGAGTATTGTGCTCCAAAACTCTGTCAGTCTGAATACAGAAGTCCCAGCAGAGTTTGACGTGTTCGTTTTCTGTAACATTATTATTATTATTATTATTATTATTATTATTATTATTATTATTATTATTTTGCCTGACCTGTGCGATGAGGGCCTTGTGTTTCTCCATCAGGTCGTTCAGATCCTCCTGATCCTCGTCGATGCGCTTCAGCAGATCCGCTTTTTCATGCTGCAATTGGTAGAGCTGCTCGTCCATCTGCATTACAATTTGCAAACCAATTTGCATTAAAATTTGCATTTAAAGTTTGCATCATTGATGTTGTCCCCTCCATGGGAATTTGCCACACAGTTTCCCTAATCTGCATACCAATTTGCATACATTTTGCAGCCCTGATCTATGCACATTTTATGCAGGCGAATTTACATAAAATTACAACTGGGGTTTGCCTGCACATTTGCATATGCATGGAGATTTTCATACAAATCCATGGGAAATTGCCTGTCTATTTGCCTATATAAATTTGCATACATTTGCAGGGGGATTTACATCTAAATTTGCATGGAATTTTGTCTGCCTATTTGCCTGTATAAATTTGCATACATTTGCATGGAGACTTGCATATAAATTTGCATATGAATGAACAGCTATTTACATGGGAAATCACCTCCCTACATAAATTTGCATGTTAATTTGCTAGGGAAACAGTGTGGCGAATTCCCATGGAGGAGACGGCATCAATGATGCAAACTTCAATGCAAATTTTAATGCAAATTGGTTTGCATATTTGTGTGTTATACGAATGCATGGGAATTTGCCTGGAAATTTACATGGGAATTTGCTTGACTATTTGCTTATAAATTTGCATACATTGGCATGTGAATTTTCCTGGACATTTCCACATATATTTGCATATATTTGCATATGAATGCAAGGGTATTTGCATATGTTGGCATGTGAAAGTTTGTTGGATATTTGCATGGAAATGTGCATATACATTTGCATATGAATGCATGGCCATTTGCATGGCTATTTGCCAATAAATTTGCATACTTTTGCATATGTTTTGCATGTGTATTTTGCCAGGAGGTTTGCATGTAAATTTGCAAATGAATGCTTGGACATTTTGCATACAAATGTATTTGTTTGCACATGTATCTGCACACTTGCATATGAATTTGCACGGAAATTTGCAACATAGGAGAAAGCCATAGGTGTCTCCAATTGGGACCAACATTCGCGTAAAATTTGTATAGAAATTAACATATCCCCCCAAAAGAATTCTAATTAATGCAATTAAAATGCTAATTAGTATAATTAATCAAAAATGCTAACAAGACAGATACCAAGATTTTGTTGCGAGCGAGTTTCTCCACCTCCGAGCGGAGTCCTTCCAGTTCAAAGGTCATCTCCTTCTGGGATTCCTGCGCTTCTGCACAACGGGAAACGCTCTCTTCCCACTGGAAAGGGACATTTGCATAATAATTTGCATATTAACTCCACCCCCTATTTTTTATTCATCATGTTGATTTAGTCAATTATGGTAACTAAGTCAGTTAGTCAATTAAATTAGTTAATTATTGAAAATTTAATTTTTTAATTAAGTGTCAATTATTTAAGTTTGGCAATTAAGACACTCCATTCTGTTGAGGAGGAGAAGGCAACCATAATGACTTTAGTTATTTATTTAAATAATTAATAACTAATTGAGGTAGTTATGTCAATTACTCAATGAAGTTAAGGTAGTTAATTAATATTTTAATTAAGTTAATTAAGAAAAATATTAGTTAATTAAAATAGTTAGTTAAATTACATCTTTTAAGTTCATTAAGTTACTTAATTTAGTTAATTAAGATAATGTTGAGGAGAGAAAGACATTCAGTATTGCTTAGTTCAATATCTTAACTAATTAATTTGCCCATATGTAATTCCTTAATTAGTTCATTAATTGCTTAAAAAATTAATAACAATGAATAAACTTGTAGTTACTTAATTCCTTAATTAGTTAACTTAGTTATTTATTTAATTACATAACTCAATTACTTCCTCATTAGATTAGTGACTTAATTAAATCACTTAATGAATCAATGTGTACTCATGTAATTCCTTAAGTTAGCTTAATTATGTCCTTCATTAGATCACTTAATAACTTACTTAACAAAATAACTTAATGACTGAATTAAAAAATAATGACAATGAATCAGCTTGCACTTGCTTAATTACTTAGTCAACTTATATTTACATAATCCCTTAATTATTAACTTGATTACTAAATTAATTAACTGGATGAATAGCCATAACTAAATTAAATGAATGAAGAATATAAATAACTTTTCAAGAATCAATGAATAAATGCAGGAAGGATAAAGGGGTGGAGTCTGACCTGCCTGCGCAGCTTCTCCACCTCTGCTTTGACCTCCGTTGACCCAGTTTCTGACCTAGAAGAGCTTTCCTGGAGGAGGAGTTGAGCATCGGCCAGGAGGGCACGGCTCCGCTTCAGGTCCCGGCGAAGGCGCTTCTCCACCTCAAAGTCATGGTGGCCAACCTATGGGGGGGGGGGGGAGTCAAGGCAGGAAGTGAGCTTGCCCATCCACTTCATGTCTGGGGAGTGATTTCCTGTCTGGGAAGTGACTCCCTGAGCCACTCCCTGTCCTAAAGCGACATCCCCAGGCCACTTCCTGTCCAAGAAATGACATCACAAGGCCACTTCCTGTCAAGGGAGCAACTTCCTTTTTGGGAAATGACGTAACCAGCCCACTTCCTGTTACAAAGTGACATCCTGACATCCCCAGGCCACTTCCTTTCCAGGAATTTTGTAACAACACAATTTCTTGTTAGGAAGTGATGTCACCAGGGTACTTCCTGTCCAGAAGTTGACATCACAAGGCCTCTTTCTGTCCAGGAAGTGATGTCCCCAGTCCACATCTTGTTGGGAAGTGACATCACAAGGCCACTTCCTGTTGAGAAATGACATAATCACACTACTTCCTTTCCAGAAATGACATCTCCAGGTCACTTCCTGTTATAAAGCCACATAACCAGGCCACTTCCTGTCCAAGAAATGATTTTTTTTCATGCCAGGAGCGACTTGAGAAATGATATAATCAGGCCGATTCCTGTTCAGGAAGTGACATTCCTAATCTACTTCCTGTCATAGTGATATTACCACTTCCCGTCCAAGAAATGACATAATCAGGCCACTTCCTGTCCAAGAGGTGACATAATCAGGCCACTTCCTGCCCAGGAAGTGACATAATGAGGCCACTTCCTGTTTGGGGGCTCTCTTTGGGCTATTACAAGGCATTACCTGTTCACATAAGGTTGCGATGAGTCCTTCCAGGTCGCGCTTCTCAGCCAGCAGCCGCTGTTTCTCCTCCGCTTCCTGTTCGCACTGCATCTCCAGCTGGCGCAGCTGCACATTAATAAGAATATATTAAATTAGATAGATAGATAGATAGATACTAATAATGATACAAGTAATACACTATATTTTAAATAATAATAAATTATATATTTCAAATAATAAATCATATATTAATATATAATTAATATAATATATTAATATAATATAAATATTAGTAATATGTTTTAAATATTAACAATAGCAAACTAAAATTATTATTATTAATAAACTATATATTTTAAATAATAAAAATAAATTATATTTTTAAACAATAATAACGATAAACTGTATATTTTAAATAATAATATATTAAATATATATACATTATATTATCATTTTAAATATATAATTTATTATTATTTTAAATACATGTAAAGTCTATATTTAAAATAAATTATTGTTATAATTATTAATTATAATAATAATGTATTTTAAATAATAATAATAAACTACTTTAAATAACATATTATATAATATATATATATTAAATAATAATAAACTATATATTTCAAATTATAATAATCAATTCTATATGTATAATAATAATGTATTTATAATAATAATAATAATAATAATAATAATAATAATAATATGGAGTGTCTGCACCTCTGCAGGCTCCAATGGAAAACTTCGAAAGTTGAAACCTTCATATTTTGGTGGTAACCCCGCCCACTACTTCCACAGCATTAAAGGCACACTGGCCGCACGCTCCGCAATTCCTACGCCGCAAAGGCAGCAAGAAAGGGGAAGTTTTGCCTGAGGGGAGGACGGGCGGGTTTGTGTGGATTCACAGAGTACCACTTGAAGAAACATGGTTACAGGTGAGTAACCTGTCCTTTTTCTTCATGGACTCTGTGAATGCACACATATGGAAACTAGCAAGCTGAAGTCCTGGAAGGTGGGACATATGCAGACCGACACCTTTGAAGTTCAAACAGAACACCTTTATTTGTAACAGCAGCAAGTGCCAACAGCACAGGTATAACCTATGCAAGAAGTGCCTCAAGAAGCCAAACATAAGTATAATAGACATACCACAATAGGAGGAAGGTGACAAAAGTCTCATGAGAATGTGGGGAAAAAACACTCACATGGTTAAGGCTTCTCATTGAGAACATAAGGGTGAAGTGGACCAAGAGGTGATAATAATATCGTGTGTCATGTAACTGGTTGTGTAACGGAGCATATTAAGGTACATAGTAACAATATTATGAACTTTGGTTACAGGTCACAGGAGAAAGGACAACCATGGCTGGGACAGGTTGACATCGTACCAGCGTCATCAAAGGACAGTGGAAAAGGAAACAAGAGAGTCATTAGTAGAGAACAAAGTGCAAATAAAGAATTTTAAGTGAACCCAACATTGGTGAATCAAAGAAAGTCTCAAAAGTGGGCCAGATTGCAAGCATAAGCTTTTGTCATAGCTGGTTTGTGGGTTGCCCTCAGGACTGAACAGAGGGCGACTGTAGAGACATTATGTTAGTATCCTCCAGGCTGTTATGTGAAGACAGTGGACATCAGAGTGAAGAAGGAAGCCCTGTTTTCTGGTCAAGAGGTGAGGCATGGGCGGTAGAGGGCGTGATGCACCTTGAGCTAACCAGAGGAGGATCGGGAACCAGGTTTGTCAAGACCAGCCCAGGGCTATGAGGATGCAGTTCATGCCTGGGGATTGGAGTCCCACGACCACCCTCAGGATTAGAGGGATTGGAGGGATTGTTGACCAGTTGAGGAGGAAGGCATCCCTGAGACATCTGGTGGTGGGATCGGGAGGGAGATGGGCTCCATACTGAGGGAGCTGGGCATTCTCGGGTGAGGAGAAGAGGTTGATGTCTGGCCGACACTAGCCATTGAAGAGGACATGGAGTTGTGTCTCATCAAGCCTCCACTCATGGGAGGTTGTCTTTTTTCGGCTGAGAGTGTCTGCCCGGTTGTTTAGTGAGCCGGGGAGATGAATTGCTGTGATGATCACTGAGTGGTTGATGCACCATTGCCAGAGAGTTAGAGTCACTTTGAGGAATTTTCTCTAACCCGTTCCGTTGATATAGTACATGGCCACTGTGTTGTCCGTTAGGATCGGGGCAGTCCTGTGGGTGACCAGGAGGACAAAGGCTTTGAGGGCCTTGAAGATCACCAGGAGTTCAAGATAGTTGATGTGGTGTAGTCTCTTTTTATTATACCAGAGGTCCTGTGTGGCGAGATGGTTGGTGTGGGCTCCCCAGGTGAAGGTGGAGGAGTCTATCGTTATCGTGACTGAGGGAGGTCGAGGGTGAAACGGCACGCCGAGACAGATATTGCGCCGGGATGTCCACCACACAAGGGAGGTTAACACCTGCTTCAAAATGGAGAGGAATCTTAAGTTGCAGTGTCAAGCAGGATTTAAGTGATTGAGAAACCATTTCTGAAGTGGACGGAGTTTGAATCTGGCAAAGGAGGTGACCAAGACTGCCAATACCATGTACCCAAGAAGGACCTGGATCTGTATGGCCTGGATCCTGTGGGAACAGTTGGATTGGCGGATCTTGTGTTGGAGAGCGAGATACCTCTCTTCAGGGAGGGAGTGGTGGAGTCGAAGAGGATGGAGTGGTGGAGTCGAAGAGGATGCCGATGAATTTTATCCTGGTCATTGGCATCAAATGGGACTTTTCAGCATTGAGCTTAAGACCAAGGGAGTTGAGCAGGTGTACGGTGGCAATGACGTGGGATTCGAAGAGAGAAGGAGAATGAGCCACAATCAGCCAATCGTCCAGGTAAGGGAAGATGAATGTGCCCTGTTTCCTGAAATGGGCTGCCATGACCAACATGCCTTTTGTGAACACTCGTGGAGCCATGATGAGTCCAAAGGGAAGGACTGTTAACTGGAAAGTCTGATGATGAACTCAGAAAGAGAGGAAGCCTCTGTGGGCAGGACGGACTGCTAAATGGAAGTAAGCGTCTTGAAGGTCAATGGACGCAAAGTAGTCTCTTTGGTGGAGAAGAGGTAGGATTTATGATACCATCACCATTCTGAACTTCATCGACACAATGTAAGAGTTCAGGGCTCTGAGGTCAAGGATTGGTCACAGGCCTCCCCCTGACTTTGGGTTTGTGAAGTACCTCAAGGAAAAGGCTCAAAAAAGAGGAAAATAATGGACTGGATACCCATTAAGGATTACATGAACAAAGAAAACATTACATTGATAGTGGACATTTAAGAAGACATATAAGCAGTTAATGTCACGCCATGAGAGAACAGGAAAGGAGAAAGTTGATTCTAAACAGATCATATGGAAATAATAGAAGTCGATAACCACAGTTGAGAAGATTAAAAGTCTAACTCTTCAATCCCCATTTTTCTCTTTTTTTCTTTCCCTCTTGTTTATCTTCCCTTCTTTTCTTTTCACTCCCTCTATCTTCCTGTCCCCTCTTCTCTCCCCCCCAGGAACCTCCTGCCTTTCATATTTTCTCTTTTATCATATTTATGTTGTTGAGGCTGAGGGTTTGGCAGAGACCTATAGTTTTGATGGTAGGTCTGGTGGCCATATTGGGTTGATTTCCATATTGACAGTAGCAGTGTTGGTACCAGCGGGTTCTCTGGGCACTGGATTGCTGATGGACACTGCATTTAGTTTAAAGTCTTGATTGGACTTTAGCTTGTCATTGGTACCGGTGTTGAAGAGACTGAGGGGATCAAATGGGAGGTCCTTGATTATTTGTTTTGAGGAGGTGGCGAGGCCAGAAGAGCACAGCCAATAGTGGTGGCAAATGGCGATTGTGTGGGCTATCATCTTGCCCGCTGTGTTTAGACATCTGGATCTGGTGATGAGCAAGGGAAGTGTCCTCCTGGTACAGAGTCAAGAGGACTGCTTGGTCTTCCTCAGAAAGTTTGTTATGGAAGGGCTAAGGTTTTTCCCTGAGGATTTGCTGGTAAGCCCCCATGCAGGCTCCATAATTTGCCATTCTGGCAAGGAGGTGTTTTGCTATTGTTTTCCTACAAACAAAAATAAAATTAACAAAGTAATAACCATGGTAGCAGCGCTAAAAAGTTGTGATTGACACAAAAACTGATTATTGCTTTCATTTCTTTTTAAAAATATTTTTTCCTCAACATTTCCTGATAACATCTCAAATACATGAGATTCATTTGCCTGTGGATTCATTTGCCTGCCATTTTCAACCAATGGCATCGAAACCCGTGTCCTCTCAGTCAGAAGAGGTGTTGGACTGCCTTCTGGAGGACTGGGCTGACTTCACCACTACCAAGTTTGGGTTGGGATGGTGCTTCAGCCATTCGAGGCTCTCATCATCAGTACGATACCACGCCTCTATGCGTTTCGAGGTGGGTGGAATCAAGAACGGGGTCTTCCAGGAAGCCTGGATTACGTTGAGAAGTTAAGGCAGGAATGGTAATAGGGTTGCTGGTGGGGCCTCCTATTGGACCCTTTTAAAGAATGGGTCAGTTACAGCCTTCGATGTTTGTTTGATTTTCAGTCCAAGGATATTCGCCATTTGAACCATCTGTTTGGCGAAAACTCTGATGTTATCCGTTGGGGAAGGAGAATCAACATTGTAGGCATCTGGGTTTGGTGAGAGGTCTATGCCCAGGGAGAGGACGGAATTGGAACGGACTGACTCTGGTAAGTCTTTGTCCTGGTCATCATCCTCAGTATGGTTAGGAGATGGAGGTGGTGATGGAAGGCGGCAGAGGCAGCCTAGGAACTGTCTTTGGAGAAGAGGGAGGTGGAAGCTGTTTCGAGGCTGAGACTTGAGTCACTCTAGCCAGGCGTGCCGTCTGGTGGCCCCTCTCCAGTGTCGAAGTCAAAGAGCTGTTGTCAGGCAGAAGGTTTGGTAGGTTGTAGTTATTGGAGAGGTGCTTGAACAACTGTCTGGCCTGAGTGGGTTGGGGAGTCCTGGATTTCACCTTCTGATAGCTGGTGTATCGGGGAGTCAGGTGAAGACCTTGGGCAGAAGAGGGGTTATTACCTATTCTTATTATTACCTTCTTCTGGCAGGCTCCCCGGAGGTCATCCATCTCTTCTTCTTTATCTTCCATTTTCTTCTGATGCAGATGCTGCTTCCTCTCAATCTCCAGCTCCAGATGTAAATGCAACTTTAATGGGAAAGAAGGAAGTGCGATGGAACATGTAATCCAGGCCTTTTCATCTATATAATTTATATCTATATCAACTATATACCTCAAGACCACAAATATGATATAGTCTTCATGACATATCCCATCATCCCCTTTCATATAGATCTATATATCTATTATCTATTCACTGCATATCCATATTCATATACACTAAAGGATATAGCATCAACTATCACCCCATCATCTCCTTAACATACACACACAATAGGATATAGTGATCACTACATATCCCATCTTATCCTTAATTGAGTACAATAAATCCTTATTGTAGGGAAAAGAACTATACAGATGAGACTGGTAACTTACCTGTTCCAGGTGTTCAATTCTTTTTGCTTGAAGACCAAGCTCTTCCTCTTGTTTGGCAGCACTTTCTTCCAGGTCCCAGACCTGCTTCTGCAGGGCAGCCATTTTGTTCGTGTCAAGGCCATTGGACAGACAACACAGCTCCGACATCTGCTTGGTCAGCAGCTCCAGCCGCTTGACCAGGACATTCTTCTCAGACTCCTTCTCCTGGAAGGACAAGCATACAATTTCAATTGCAAATTCTTTTTACAGAATGAACATTTTACAATTTTGATTTTTTTAAAAAAAATTTAAAAAATATTTTTTTGAAATTTTTAAATTCTTCTGCAAATTTTGTATTTTTTGGAATTTTGTGACTTTTTTGAAAATTTTTGTATTTTTTAATGGAAATTTTGTGAAAATTTTCTTTTTAATTTTTCTCCCATTTTTCCAAACTTTTGAAAATTTGAATTACACTATTCTCATTTTTTCAGATTTTCATATATATATATATATATATATATATATATATATATATATATATAAAATTGGGAAAATGTGAAAAAATTGAAAAAATGTGGAAATCTTTATATGGAAAAACGAAACTGTGAAAAACATGAAAAACTTAAAAAATGCAAAAGATGCAAATTTTCTTGTTTTAAAAAGTTGAAAAACGGAAAAAGGTAGCAGTTGGAGATTATGCATCCAAAGAAAAGTGACCAAGGAAATAGAAATTTGGATTTCTAAAATGTGTAAAACTGTAAATGTAAAATTGGTGAAAGGTTGTAAAGGTTTGTAAAAGTGTGTAAATATTTGAAAAAAAAATTGTAAACATTTTTAAAAGATTGTAAAAAATTGAAAAATAGTAAACATTTGTAAAAGTTTATAAACATTTGAAAAAAGAATGTAAACATTTGTAAATGCATGTAAAAAATGAAAAATTGTAAAAATTTTGAAAATATGTAAACATTTGTAACAAAAATTGTAAAGATTTATATTCAAATAGTAAAAAAATAAAATAGTAAAAACTGAAAAATGAAAAAGTTTGTAAAAAGTTGCAAACATTTGTAAAAGGTTGTAAAAGTGAAAAATGGTAAAAATTGTAACAAAAATTGTAAAAAATGTTAAATTTTTGTTAAACTGTAAGAATTTGTAAAAGGTTGTGAAAGTTTGAAATAAATAGTAAAAATTTGCAAAAAAAAAAAGAAATGTGTGAAATGTAGAATACGGAGAGTAGGCAAATATGTATTTGCAATATTGGAAAAATTGTGAATGAAAAACTTTTCTCTCTGCATACCTCTAAGTTCTTTTGCATTTTCCCCACTTGATACTGGAGGTTGGTGTTTTCTTGCATCACTTTTTCACGAAGACTTTTCTCAAACGCAGATTCCCCCAAAGCTTGGGCCAGCTGCAGGTCAAACCTGTTGTTGTTGTTGTTTGTTGTTGTGCAAAAAAAAAAAGAAGATAAAAATTGCAATAAATAAATACATTTTTTTCAGGGATATAGGAATAAATTGTTCGAAATATACAGGAATAAAATTCAAAAATATGCATTATTTAATATATGGGAATAAATTACAAAAGTTGCATTATTTAATATATGGGAATAAATTGCAAAAAGTGCATTATTTAATATATAGGAATAGAAAAACGCGGACTTCCTAATACATGGGAATAAATTGCAAAATGAATTGCAAGCAGTTGCAAAAATAATTGCAAAGAGCTTGGCAATAATGTATATATGGGAAAGGAAGAAATTGCCAGAAATAATTGCAAGAAAAATTGCAGAAATATTTGCACAACCTAATATACAGGAATAAATTGCAAAGATTATTGCAAAATAATTTGCTAATAATATGGGACAATATGTTGTATATGAGACTAAATGTCAAAGGGTACTTCTTCTGCCTCTTCTCCAGTTCGTGGCTGCGGTTCTGCTGGTTCTCCACAAGGAGGCGGGTGTCCTCCAGGTCACAGGCTAGGCGCTGGCACTTGCGCTGGAACTGCTGTGACGAGCGGCGGGCCGCCTCCCAGGCCAACTGTGCCCCACACAGCTGCAGAATCAAAGGAAAGGCAGAACACCAGGATCAGAGTCCACGCTGGAATCTTGTTCGAACCTCTTTAAAAGAGTCCTCTATTGAATATTATTTGAAAAGTACAAGGCAATCAAGGCATTGTTGAAGGCTTTCATGGCCAGAATCACTGGGTTGTAGTTTTTTAAGGCTATATGGACATGTTCTAGAAGCATTCTCTCCTGACATTTTGCCTGCATCTATTTATTTATTTATTTATTTATTTATTATTCGAACTTATATGCCGCCACTCCCCTGGGGCTCGGAGCGGCTTACAAGACTGGCTAAAATCGAACACAATTTTAAAACAATTTAAAACCATTTAAAAACAGCAATATCAGAGATCAAAAGCCCGTCCAAACAGGTATGTCTTACATGCCCTGCGGAAAGCCGATAAGTCCCGCAAGGCTCGGACTTCAGGTGGCAGAGTATTCCAGAGTGATGGTGCCACTGCTGTAAAGGCTCTGCGTCTGGTTGCTGTTAGACGCAAGGTCTTGACACTGGGAATTTCCAACAGATCTTAGTCCTCAGAACGGAGGGATCTCTGGGGTTGGTAGGGGGTGAGGCGGTCCCTCAGGTACATCGGCCCCAGACCATGCAAGGCCTTAAAGGTGAGTACCATCACTTTGAAAGTGATCCGGTGCTCAATTGGTAACCAATGCAGCTGTAATAAGATTGGTGTGATATGGCATCTCATTGGAATTCCCGCAAGAAGCCGAGCAGCTGCATTTTGTCCCAACTTGAGCTTCCGGATCACCGACAGAGGAAGGCCAATGTAGAGAGCGTTACAGTAGTCCAGTCTTGAGATGACCATAGCCTGGATCACCGTAGCTAGGTTGTCCCTGGACAGGTAGGGGGCCAGCCGTCTAGCCTGCCGCAAATGAAAAAAGGCAGTTCTGCTCACGGCAGAGACCTGGGCCTCCATCGTCAGCAGAGGGTCCAAAAGGACTCCCAGACTCTTTGCCAATGATGATGGGCGTAGCGCCTCGCCATCCAGGGTAGGCAGCTGGATATCCCCATTGCCCATTTGACCCAGCCATAGGATCTCTGTCTTTGCTGGATTCACCCTCAACCTGCTGGCACACAGCCATCCAGTAACAGCCTCGAGGCACTGATGGAAATAATCGGGTACAGAGTCCGGTCGGCCTTCCATCTTCAGCACCAGCTGAGTGTCATCGGCGTACTGATAACACTCAAGCCCAAAACCTCGAACCAGCTGAGTAAGTGGTCGCATATAGATGTTAAACAACAGAGAGGAGAGAATGGCCCCCTGAGGAACCCCACAAGACAGAGGAGACCTCTCAGAGACCAGGCCTCCCCTCTCCACTCGCTGTCCACGGCTGTGAAGAAAGGAGGATAGCCAATTTAAAGTTGTCCAGCAGTGGGACTGTGTCAAATGCTGCTGTGAGATCCAATAACACAAGCAGCGCTGACCCGCCCTGGTCAAGCTGGCATCGAAGGTGATCCGTGATGGAGACCAGCACAGTCTCTGTCCCGTGCCCCGCATGGAAGCCGGACTGGAAGGGATCTAGTCCGGCTGTGTCATCTAGGAATTGCTGCAACTGCTCCGCTGCTGCCCTCTCCATCACCTTGCCCAGGAACGAGAGATTCGAAACTGGGCGGTAACTGGAGGGAACTGAAGAATCTAAATCTGGTTTCTTCAGCAGGGGAGAGACCACCGCCTCTTTTAAACCCTTTGGAAAAACCTTTTTTGCAATGCTCTCTGCCTTTTGGACCATTTTGCATTCTGCACTACTTTGCATTTTGCATTTTTCACCACTTTCATTTTGCTTTTTGCATTTTGCACCACTTTCCATTTTTGCAAGCCTTACAGGCCAACTGTGCCAACTGTGCCCCCCACAGTTGCAGAATCGAAAGACAGGCAGAACACCAGTTTCAGTCTGCTCCTCTTTAAAGACATCATCTATGGTTTTTATTTAAAAGTGTAATGCAATGAAGACATTGCTTTGCATTTTGCACTGCTATGCATTTTGCAAATAAATTGCAGTTTGCACCACTTTGCATTTTGCAAATGCTTTCAATTTGTAATGCTTTGCATTTTACAAATATTTTGCATTTTGCACCAATTTACATATTACAAGCCTTTTGCATGTTGCACCATTTTGCATTTTGCACTGCTTTGCATTTGCTAATGCTGTTTGTTTCACACTTTGCATTTTGCTCTGCTTTGCATCATGTATGATTTTGCAAATGCTTTGCTTTTTGCACCACTTTGCATTTTGCACTTCATTGGATTTTGCATTTTGCACTTTCTATTTTGCCCTCCCTTTTTTGTATGTTGCAGTTTGCATTTTTTGCCACTTTCATTTTGCCTTTTGCATTCTGCACCACTTTGCATTATGTAAACTCTTTGTATTTTGCATTTGGCACCCACTTTGCATTTTGAAAAAAAAAAGGAATTTTGCAAATCTTTAAAAACACTAAAAGTAGAAGAGGAAACCTTTTCTTCGATCTCTTTCTTGGCTTTTTGCTCAGTTTCCAACCGTTCTTCCAGAAGCGCAATCCGTTTCCGGAGGAATCCAATCTCTGTTTCGGCACAATCCAATTGCATCTGCCATTCCTCCCCTGCTTGGGGACACAATGAAATAAAATAAAATGCAAAATAAGAATAGACAGATATAATATTTCATAATAGTAATAATAACATTTAGTAATAAAAAAATAAAATACAGATATAATATTTCAATGCATATTTCCGTGGAGATTATATGAATGCAATTGGAAAAATATTATTTGCAATGGCAATGGTGGTTTCTGTGGTGCAATATTTTGCAATTTGTCCTCATTGCAAAGTCTTTTTGCAGCCATTGTGTTTCCTTTTTTGCTTCTTTGCAAACAGGAAGTGACAGATTTGGGGCAGCAAAGCTCCTGGGACCTTGACAGGAAGTGACATGTGCCTCTGGGACAGAAAGATGGAGAGACAGCCCAAGGCAAGCCAATGGCAAGCCAAGGACAAGCCAAGGAGAAGCAGGAATTAGCAAAAAAGGAAACCAAATGCAAGGGGAAAGCATGCAAAATGGAAGCAAAATGCAAACACAAAGCAGAATGCAAGCAAAATGCAAGTAAAAAGCAAGCAAAAGAGAAACAAAATACAAGAAAAAGGCAAGCTAAATGCAAACAAAAAGTAATCAACAATGCAAAAATTGCAAGAGAAATCCAAACAAAATGGAAGTGAAATGAAAAAAATGTAAAATGAAAATGAAGAACATGGCAAAAGCATGCAAAAATGCAAGAAAATTGCAAGCAAAAAGCAAGGAAAAAGGAAGAAAAAGACAAAATGCAAACCAAAAGCAACATGGAAATAAAATGGAAGCAAAATGCAAAATGCAAACAAAAAAAGGGAAGCAAAATGCAAACACAAGTAAAATGTAAATAAAATGCAAGCAAAATGCAAGAAAAAGCAAGTAAAGGGTAAGCAAAATGCAAAGAAAATGAAAATGAAATAAAAATAAAATGCAAGCAAAACGTAAGCATAAAAGAAAACAAAGGGGAAGCAAAATGCAAAAAACACCAAATCAAATGCAAAACACATATCAAAATGCAAATGAAATGTAAATAAAATGCAAGCAAAAAAGCAAAATACAAGGGAAAAGCATCCAGAAATGGAAGAAAAATGCCAAAAAAGAAAAGAAAATGGAAGCAAAATGCAAACAATTTTGCAAGCAAAATTGAAGCAAAAAGCATGCAGAAATAAAAGAAAAATGGAAGCAAAATGCAAATAAAGAGGAAGCAAAATGCAAATGAAAAGCAAGTAAATAGCAAGCAAAACGGAAAAAAAATAAAAAATGCAAAAATGCAGGAAAATTGTACAATGTAAACACAAAACAAAATTTAAATAAACTGCAAGCAAAATACAAAGAAAAGCAAGAAAAATGAAAAGCATGCAAAAAGCAAAGAAAAAGTAATAAAAATGCAAGAAAATTTTCAAGCAAAACGCAAGCAAAAGGGCAGCAAAATACAAAATGCAAACAAAAAGCAACATGCAAATAAAATGGAAGCAAAATGCAAACTAAATGTAAATAAAATGCAAGCGAAAAGCAAGCGAAAGGAAAGCAAAAAATCAAAATGAAAATAGAAAGGAAGAAAAAAGCAAGAAAAATGCAAGAAAAATTAAAATTGCAAGAAATTGCAAGCAAAAAGCAAGATTTAAGTAGCAAAACAGAAGTAAAATGTGGGCACAAAGTAAGGAAATGCAAGTAAAAGGCAAACAAAATGCAACCAAAAAAGCAAAATACAAGGGGAAAGCATGCAAAAATGGAAGAAAAATGCCAAAAAAGAAAAGAAAATGGAAGCAAAATGCAAACAATTTTGCAAGCAAAATTGAAGCAAAAAGCATGCAGAAAAGCAAGTAAATAGCAAGCAAAACGAAAAAAATAATAAAAAATGCAAAAAAATGCAGGGAAATTGCAAGGGAAGCAAAATGCAAGAAAATAGCAAAATGCAAGGGGAAAAAGCAAAATGCAAGGTAAAGTAAGCAAAATGGAAGTGAAATGCAAAAAAAGGAAATGGGGCCATATTGGATCTGATTCAATGCTATTGTTAGAGACCCTAAATTGGGTCTTTTCGGGTCCACATCGCGGGAGCACGGAAGGATGGAGACAGTCCCAATAAAAGATCAAAAAACAAGGTTTTTATTTTAGTTTCTTCATGAAGAAGACGGACAGCCGATAGCATGCACAGATGCTACCCTTCAAGTGACTGCCATGTCTCTTCCCTTGAAATCTGCAAACTTTATAGCCCATTACAAACAGAAAGCTCAGGGAAAACACCTTTTATGAATAATAATTCTGACCTTTTTGATGGAAAGTACTTTCTGTACATGCGGCCTCTGCGTTTCAAAAACAACATTCTTAACCTTTTAACAAAAGCAAGTAACAGAAAACCGCAACTCCTTCCTGTCTATATTTCCTTCACTCTGTTCCGTTACGAAGCTCAGCTTATTTGCTCTTTTTAAGTCAGAGAAAGGGTATGTTTCTCTTCTGCTGTTTTTGTTAGCTTTTCACCCAAAAGCCCCTTACTTAGTATTTGCAAATTTCGCTCAAAGACCCTTTCACTATTATTTTCTCCTTATTTGAAAAAGATGAGGCCTTTTTCTACCTTATATTATATAATATTATACTTGTTTTGTTGTTCATTCGTTCAGCCGTTATTGTACTGTAATACACAATTTTATTATTATTTTATATTGTTATATTATTTTATATTATTATAATACATATTTTATATCATTTTTGTTTTATTTTTATTACTAGCTTGGGTACCTGGCAATGTCCGAGTAATTTGAGAAAGGCCTTTTGAGGTGAAAGGTAATATCATTTAGTATAATTTAGTTAATTAGTAACACTATTTATTAGAAAGAAACCAGTCTTTGATTTTGTTTTTTATGAATGCTCCCGTTAGACTATATTTAACGATGTGAGTGAACTACAATTGCCAGAATTGTGGATCAATTCTCCTCAAACCAGGCCTGTATGCACAGCTGGCCATGTTGGGTCTGTGTGCCAAGTGTGGTCCAGATTTGACGATAGCTGAGTTCAGTGCTCTCTGGATAAGGGTGAACTACAACTCCCATACTCCAAGGGCTGGGTTGAGTGCTCTCTGGATGTAGGTGAACTACAGCCCCCAAAATTCCTGCTTCTTGGCAGGAGGTTGGACTGGATGGCCCATTAGGTCTCTTCCAACTCTATGATTCTATGATTCTAAGCTCAATTCCCACAAACTCCTGCAGTATGTTCAGTTGGTCACGGGACTTCTCTGTGCCAAGTCCATTGTTGGTCACAGATTCTCTGGATGCAGGTGAACTACAACTCCCAGATTCCGAGGGGAATCACCCCTAAACTCCGTTGCTATTCACAGTTGGGCATGTTGGATCTGTGTGCCAAATTTGCTCCACATCCATTATTGAGGGGATTCAGAGCGTTCCGGATGTAGGGTGAACTACAACTATCATGTGGGTGGGTCATTCCCTCCCCAACCTCTGTTGGCCATCAGAGTTCTGTGTCTCACATGTGTTCCAATTCTGCCATTGGGGCCTTCGGAATGCTCTCTGTGTACAGGGTGAATTACAACTCCCACATGAATGGGTAGTTGTCCCCCAAACACCTCTAGTATGTTCTGTTGGTCACCAAGGTTTTGTGTGTCATATTTGGTCCAGATCCATCATTGATGGGGTTCAGAGTGCTTGAGGTGCAGGGTGAACTACAATTCCTATGCGAGTGGGTCAGTTCCCTAGTACGTTCTGTTGGTCATGGGGGTTTTGTGTCCAAGTTTGTTCCAGGCCCATCATTCATGGGGGTCATAGTAGTCTATGGAATTGATCAAAGATACTACAAATCTCATCGTCTGTGGTCCATCCTCCCTCAACCCTCAGTGGGACATAAAGTGCGACACAGTGAGTCTGTGTGCCAAATATTAACCAGGTCCGTCATGCACGAGGGTCACAGTGGTCTCTGAAATTGAGTGAAGATACTGCAAGTCCCCTCATCTGCGGCAAGTTTGGTCCAGATGCATCATTGGTTGGGTTCACAGTGCTCTCTGGATGTAGCTCTCTGGATGTAGCTGAACTATAACTCCTCTAAATCAAGGTCAATTCCCCCCAAACCTGGTCATGGGGGCTCTGTGTGCCAAATGGGGTCCAGGTGTGCCAAATGGGGTCCAGGTCAATAAGGGGTTCACAGTGCTCTGCCTTGATACAGGTTGAACTACAACTTCCATCCTGTTGAGTCAGTCCCCCAAACCTCTCCAATCTGTTCATTTGCTGATCAATCCCTCTGTGTTTGCTGTGTGCCATAGGAAAGTGTTAAGGGTGGGGTCATGCAAATTCCACACAAGGAACCCTGGGATGTCTGCCTGTGGTGGAGGAAACAAGTGAAATCTAGGATGAGATTCTCCCCGGACCCCGAATGATAGCATTCCTTGGGTGGTGGGCCGTAGTATTTGGGGACTCCATGTTCACGGCACTTGCTGTAACCTGCACTGTCAGTGGAGGGAGTGCCTTTGGAGGCTTCTCAGCCACACACACACATGTTCACTTTTATTATATGTATAGATTATATTATTATTTTTTATTTATTTAAAACATTTATATTCCGCCCTTCTCACCCCAAAGGGGACTCAGGGCGGAGCACAGCATATACACGGCAAACATTCAATGCTAGGACACAAATTCTTATATTCATACATAAACATTAAAAACATTTATCAAAATGTTAAAATACACCATTTAAAATCGTCCTAGTCATCCGCGTCAAGTCTAATTGGCCTGGTCATCTTTCCTATTGCTGCTTCATTGCCCTGTCCCGAAAGCTTGGTCCCACAGCCAAGTTTTTACCATCCTTCTAAAGGACAGGAAGGAGGGGGCCAACCTGATCTCACCAGGAAGGGAGTTCCATAGCCGGGGAGCAATCACCGAGAAGGCCCCGTCTTTTGTCCCCAATCATGCCTTTGTAGAAAGAATGCTAACAGGACAAGCAAGCTGCTGTCCAGGCACAGCAAGAGGGGGGCTGAAGAGGGGGACATAATTCCAGGAGAGAGATAAGCCTGTCCTAGTGGCAACAGACTAGGCTCTAAGTAAGTAGCCCCTCTCTCCCTCCTGACAGGTCAAAAGCAGGCCCCTGATGGATGTAAGCTGCTCCTAGAAATACACAGAGACATGCCTTTTGCATCTTGGAAAATAGAACTTGATATTTCTGTGATGCTAAGGTGATGTAGTGAATGATGTAAATGTATGTAGACGCATGTTCTTTGTTTGCCTGCATTTGGAGGCTATAAAAGGCATAGTCCGCACCTATATCATGGCTCTGGATGCTTTTGGACATAGTCCACTCCAGGGTCCCAGCTGGAAATAAAATCCGTGCTTTTGAGACCTCCGGACCTCTCTTTATCTCTTTTCCTGAAACCTTCTCCCTGCCATTTCAGTTTAAAAAAGGGAATTTTCAGAGATGTTCCCAATGCCCATATATCATGAGTTATTGCCATATTGGCCTATTTCTGCAGTAGGCCTATGTTTACGGAAAATGCTGATTGTTTGAAAAATCAGCGTTCCAAAGAAGTTGCTAAAATGACTAAAATGATCAAGGGTCTGGAGAACAAGCCCTATGAGGAGTGGCTTAAGGAGCTGGGCATGTTTAGCCTGAAGAAGAGAAGGCTGAGAGGGGATATGATAGCCATGTATAAATATGTGAGAGGAAGCCACAGGGAGGAGGGAGCAAGCTTGTTTTCTGCTTCCTTGGAGACTAGGACGTGGAGCAATGGCTTCAAACTACAAGAGAGGAGATTCCATCTGAACATGAGGAAGAACTTCCTGACTGTAAGAGAGCCGTTCAGCAGTGGAACTCTCTGCCCCAGAGTGTGGTGGAGGCTACTTCTTTGGAAGTTTTTAAACAGAGGCTGGATGGCCATCTGTCAGGGGTGATTTGAATGCAATATTCCTGCTTCTTGGCAGGGGGTTGGACTGGATGGCCCATGAGGTCTCTTCCAACTCTTTGATTCTATGATTCTACTATTCAAGGATAACAGTATATCCGGACAAAACCAGCTAGCCGTTGGCTAGTTAGAACCCCCAAGTTTCCCAGTCGCTCTAGAGCCATGTTTGCAACAAACAGATAAGATACAGTCATGGTCAGAGAACAATAGACCATAGTTGTGCCATAGTTGTGCCATTGTTAGGATCCCACGTGTGCTATAATGTTAATCAAAACCATAAACAACTTATGAACAACTGCATAGCTAGCTTTAGACGAATGAAATGATTTGTCTTTGGGAACCAATGAAAATGTATATTCCATTTACTATAAATGCTCTGCAGCCCCATTGGGGGTTGCGACAAACCCTTTGATTGCATCCCTATATGCTTGTTTGTTGTTACTGCTATGGCCACGCAATAAATAGTTTTTTGCAGTTTAAAGGATTCAACTTTTGTGGTGTCCATCCTTGCCCTCCTTATTAGAAAGGGGGCTTCTGCCTTTTTGGGAAATATTTTGGTTTCTTTGCCCCTACAATAGGGGGTGATCCGTTTGGACAGGTAATTTGGGCCAGGGCTGTTTAGGGCTTTATAGGCCAAAGCCAGCACTTTGGATTGTGCCTGGTAGCAGACTGGCAGCCAGTGGGGCTGGCGTAACATGGGAGTTGTATGCTCCCTGTATGCCGCCCCAGTTATTAACCTGGCTGCCTCTCGTTGGACTATTGGAAGTTTCTGAGCAGTCTTCAAAGGCAACCCCACGTAGAGTGCGTTGCAGTAGTCTATCCTAGATGTAACGAGAGCATGGACCACTGTGGCCAAGTCTGACTTCCCAAGGTACGGGTGCAGCTGGCGCACAAGTTTTAATTGTGCGAAAGCTCCCCTGGCCATCGCTGCAACCTGGAATTCCAGGCTCAGTGACGAGTCCAGGAGGACCCTCAAGCATATAATGTTTACCTCTCCGAACGTATTCTCCCCTACGAACCATCAAGATTATTAAGATCATCTGGAGAGGCCCTGCTCTCGGTCCCACCAGCCTCGCAAGCGCGCCTGGTGGGGACGAGGGACAGGGCCTTCTCGGTGGTGGCCCCGCGACTCTGGAACTCTCTCCCACCGGAGATCAGAACCGCCCCTTCTATCCTGACTTTTAGGAAACGGGTGAAGACGTGGTTATGGAGACAGGCTTTCGATGAATGAGACAACACCATAGGACCCTGGATGGAAGTTGATGTAGATCCATCTTAATAGGATGACTGACCACTGTAGTTTTATATATAGTGTTTTTAAAGTTGTTTTTGTAATTGTGATATATGATATTTTAATGAGTGTATATGTTTTTTATGGCTGGAAACCGGGCTGAGTCCCTCAATGAGGTTGAGAAGCTCGGTATAGAAAACTGTGAAATAAATAAATAAATAAATATAATGCATACTATATATTCCTACCTTTCCCAGAGCTTTTGGCAGCCATTTCTCGCAGTTCAAGCTGCTGCTGCGTTTCCTCTAGTTGTTTCTCTGCGGCTTCTAATTTCTTCCGTAGATCCTCATGTTTATTCTGCAAAGAATGTAATGAAAATAAGCACTGGGACCCACTTCCAAAAATAGGGTCATCTACACTTTTCTAGATGTCCTATTCATCCGCAAACCAGATCAACAATTGGGTCACACCGTTTACAGAAAACCTACACACACTGATAGATACCTACACAAAAACTCCAACCATCACCCAAGTACAAAAAAAATACACCATGAAAACCTTGGCAAACTGTGCAAAAAGGATCTGCCAACCCCACCTCCTCCAAGACGAACTGAACCACCTCAACTGGGCTCTACAGGCCAATGGAGACTCCACCTCAGACATCAGAAGAGCTGCAAGACCAAGAACAAGCCACGAGAGTCAAGATGAAGATCCACCCAGAGGAAAAGTGTTCTTGCCATACATCACGAGAACCACCGCATAGGGAAACTGATGAGGAAACACAACCTACAAACTATCTACAGACCCACCAAGGAAATCCAACAAGTGCTACGTTCAGCAAAGGACAAGAGGGATCCTCTCACTTCTGCAGGAGTCTCCCGTATACCATGCAGCTGTGGACAAGTCTACATAGGGACCACCAAACGCAGCGCCCAGACACGCATCAAGGAACATGAAAGGCACTGCAGACTACTTCAACCAGAGAAGTCAGCCATAGCAGAGCACCTGATGAACCAGCCTGGACACAGCATATTATTTGAGAACACAGAAATGCTGGACCACTCTCACAACCACCATGTCAGACGACACAGAGAAGCCATTGAAATCCACAAAAAACATGTGGACAATTTCAACAGAAAGGAAGAAACCATGAAAATGAACAAAATCTGGCTACCAGTATTTTAAAAACTCTAAAATTATAACAGTAAATAAAGAACAACATTCAAACACAGAGGAACTCCAGACAAGAAACAATCAGGAACAGCTAATCACCCCTCAACAAAGGATTCCCCCAGGCAGTAACAAGCCACATCTAAAAACTGCCAGGCCATCAAATGATAATCAAGGTGGCCAGTTGAAACATTCACACCTAGTATTGTCGAAGGCTTTCATGGTCGGAATCACTGGGTTGTTGTAGGTTTTTCCGGGCTATATGGCCATGTTCTAGAGGCATTCTCTCCTGACGTTTTGCCTGCATCTATGACAAGCATCCTCAGACGTAGTGAGGTTTGTTGGAACTAGGAAAATGGGTTTATATATCTGTGGAATGACCAGGGTGGGACAAAAGACTCTTGTCTGTTGGCGCTAGGTGTGAATGTTTCAACTGACCACCTTGATTAGCATTTATTTATTTATTTATTTATTTACAGCTTTTATATTCCGCCCTTCTCACCCCGCAGGGGGCTCAGGGCGGATTACAGGGTACATATATATGGCAAACATTCAATGCCAATTTGACATACAACATATACAGACATAGATAGAGGCTATTTAACTTTTTCTGGCCGCCAGGGGAGCTGTCGCTTTCATCGTCCATCTGCGACACTGATGAAGTACTTCTGCATTTCCCGCATGCTTTTGCTAGAGTCTTTTTTATGGCCTCATAAATTAGTTAATTTAGCCTCCCCACACTTTAAGGTGGTACCTAATTTTCCTACTTGACAGATGCAACTGTCTTTTGGGTTGCAAAGGTCGACAACAGGCTACACAATTGGTTGGAAACCCACTCCAACCCGGGCTGGCTTCCAACTCATGACCTTTTGGTCAGAGTGATCTTAATGCAGCTGACACTCAGCCAGCTGCGCCACAATCCCGGTGCATTTGATGGCCTGTCAGTGCCTGGGGCAATCTTTTGTTGAGAGGTGATTAGCTGTCCCTGGTTGTTTCCTCTCTGTTGTTTTACTGTTGTAATTTTAGAGTTTTTTTAATACTGGTAGCCAGATTTTGTTCATTTTCATGGTTTCCTCCTTTCTGTTGAAATTGTCCACATGCTCAGTGTCAGCTGCATTAAAGATCACTCTGACCAAAAGGTCATGAGTTCGAAGCCAGCCCAGGTTGGAGTGGGTTTCCAACCAATTGTGTGTAGCCTGTTGTCGACCTTTGCAACTTGAAAGACAGTTGCATCTGTCAAGTAGGAAAATTAGGTACCACAATAAAGTGTGGGGACGCTAAATTAGCTAATTTATGAGGCCATAAAGAAGACTCCAGCAAAGCATTCCAGCGGGGAAGCATGCGGGGAATGCGGAAGTACTTCATCAGCATCGCAGATGGACGATGAAAGCAACAGCTCCCCTGGCGGCCAGAAAAAAGTTAAATAGCCTCTGTGTATGTCTGTATATGTTTGTATGTCAAAAATTGGCATTGAACGTTTGCCATATATGTGTACACTGTAATCCGCCCTGAGTCCCCTGTGGGGCGAGAAGGGCGGTGTTGGGGTTCAGCCTGCATGTGAACCTGAACCTGATTCTCAGATTGTATTTGATGCAACTGAACAGGCTACTGAACATGTATTTTTCCCTGATGGTTTGGAAGATGTTGATTCTGAGGTCAGTGGCTTGGAAAGTGAAACTACACAGCCTGATGAGAATGTTTCAGAACCAAGCAGGGATAGCTCTCCAGAGGAGCTAGCACCTGGCTTCTTTAATGAGGATAGAAAAGAGCAGATTTGGAAAAACAGGAGTGAATCGCAGAGTCTGCGAAGGTCAAGCAGATTAAGGGAAAGGGAGGCATAGGCTTCAAAGCCTGTAGGTGTGTCTCGAAACAGTTTCTTTAGTTTTAAGTGCCTCTCCCCGGGCTGTCTCGTTAGATCAGGCATCGTTTAGACTGAGGCATTACCTTGGTAGAGTTCCCGTTTCTTGTGGCCTACATCCCAAGAGGCTTCTAGTACGCCAAGTACGGTTAGTGGTTTGCTAACAGGTTCCAGGTTTTTAGTGTGGCTTTTGGAATTTTGATCTATTTCATGGATATTCTTGGCTGCTGAATTCTACTGTGGCTTTTTGACTTTGCATTTTCTTCTATTTTGTAACAATTTTTCATCAATAAAAAAGGATTGTTTTTCCTACAGTCAAGTGTGGTGGATTGATATCTAATGGTCTCATTTCCTGCTTCTGGGTTGCAACAGGCGGAATATAAATACTGTAAATAAATAAATAAATAAATAAATAAATTTGGTCCAGATTTATCATTGCTTGAGTCCACAGTGCTTTAGGGATGTAGGTGAACTACAACTCCAAAACGCAAGGTCAATGCTCATCAAACCCTTCTGGTATTTTCTATTGTTCATGGGAGTTATGTGTGCCACGTTTGGTTCAATTTCATCATTGGTGGAGTTCAGAAGGCTCCTTGATTGTAGGTTAACTATAAATCCCAGCAACTACAACTCCTAAATGACAAAATCAACCCAACCCCTCACGTCATCCCCACCAGTATTTAAATGTGGGCATACTGGGTATTTGTGCCAAATTTGGTCCACTGAATGAAAATCCTGTATATCAGATATTTACATGACAATTCATAACAGTAGCAAAAATACAGTTATGAAGTAGTAAGGAAAATAATTTTATGGTTGGGGGGTCACCACAACATGAGGAACTGTATTAAGGGGTCACGGCATTAGGAAGGTTGAGAAACACTGCTCTAGAACATGGCCATATAGCCCGAAAAAACCTACAACAACCCATTCACACCTAGTTTCAATAGACAAGAGTTCTTTCTCCCACTCTGGACTTTCCACAGATATATAAACCCAAGAAGGGACTTTTAAATTGCTAATCAATTGGGCAAATCTATGGACAAAGCAGCCTCCAACTCATCCAAGGGAAGCCCATTGTCCACTAGTTCTGGAAAGGTCACCTAAGCTGACCCCTTGACCTTTTACCTGCAGCTCCTTGACCTCTCTCGACCCCTTCAGCCGCTCGGACCGCTCTGTGTCCAAAACACGGCAAGCGGCTTCCACTTTCAAGCGTTCATCCAGTAGCTCCGCCGTGAGGTCAATGACCTGCAATTAATGGACCAAACCCAGATATACAAGTAGACAGATAGATAAGATAGATAGATAGATAGATAGATAGATAGATAGATAGATAGATAGATAGATAGGCATTTCTAAGACCCCGCTTTCCCATTTCTTTTACCTTTGTTTCCAGTAATTCTACGTTTTGGCGATGGAGTTCCGCGTTTTCCAGTTTCTTCTTCAGGATGGAAAGTTCCTCCTTTGGGAATAAAAAGGAAAGAAGGAAGGAAGGAAGGAAGGAAGGAAGGAGAGAATGGAGGAAATGAAAAGGGAAGAGGAAGGGAAAAGTAAAGGGAAAGGAAGGAAGGAAAGAAAGGAGAAGACGGAAGGAGAGAAATCATGGATGGATGAATGGATAAATTGATGGATGGGGAAGGATCGAAGGACAAAGAAGGAGAGAACGGAGGAAATGAAAAGGGAAGAGAAAGAGGAAAGTAAAGGAGAAGGAAGCAAAGGAGAGAAAGGAAGGCAGGAAGGAGAAGAAAAGAATGGATGGAAGGAGAAGGAAGGATTGAAGGAGAAGGAAGGAGAGAATGGAGGAAATGAAAAGGGAAGAAGAAAGTAAAGGGAAAGGAAGGAAGAAAAGAAGAGTAAGGAAGGAAAAATAATGGATAAAGGAAGGAGAGAGATCATGGATGGATGGAGGGATGGATGGAAGAAGAAGAAAGGAAGAAAATAAATGATGGATGGTTAGAATGAAGGAAGGAGAAAGGGAAGAGAAGGAAGGAGAGAAAGGATGGATGGAAGAAAGGAAGGAAAAGGAAGAAAAAGGATGGGAGGAAAGAAAGATTGGATGGAAGGAAAGAACAGATGGAAAAGAAACAAGAAAAGAAAGGGAAAGGAAAGAAGAAAGGAGAAGAAAGGAGAGAATGGATGGATGGAAGGAAAGGATTGAAGGCAGGAGAAGGTAGGATCGAAAGAGAAAGAAAGAGAATGGATGGAAGGAAGGAGAGAAAGGATGGATGGAGAGAGAAGGTAGAAGAGAAACGATTGAAGGAAGAAGGAAGGAGATGATAGATGATGGGTGGGTGGGTGGAAAGAAAGGAAGAATGGAACAAGAAGGAAGGAGAGAAAGGATGGAAGGAAGGAGAAGGAAGATAAAGGATTGAAGGATGGATTAATGGAAGGAAGGAAGGAAGAAAGGAAGGAAGGAAGGAAGGAGAGAAAGGATGGAAGGATGGAATGGAAGGAAAGGAAGGAAAAATAGTCGGAAAGGAAAGAAGAAAAGGAAAGGGAAAGGAAGGAGGAAGAAAGGAAATAAATAAAGAAATAAGGGAGGGAGGGAGAAAGGAAAAGGATGGAAGGAAGGAGAAAGAAGATGATGGAAGGATGGATGGAAGAAAGGAGAAGAAGAAAAAGGATGTAAGGAAGGAGAAGGAAGGATGGATGGAAGGAAGGAAAAGGAAAGAGAAAGGATGAATGGAAGGAGAAGGAACAACAGAAATGATGGGTGGATGGATGGATGGATGGATGGATGGATGGATGGATGGAGAAAGGAACAAGAAGGAACAAAAAGAAGTAAGGAAAGGAAGAAGAAATGGAGGAAAGGAAAGAGGAAAGGAAGGAAGGAGAAGGAAGGAGAGAAATTATGGATGGGAGGGAGGAAGAAAGGAAGAGGACAGGACGCATTTGAATATTCGGACAATTTCTTGCTCTACCACCCCTCCTATTCTATCAATTGGGGCCAATGCAGAGGATAAGAGACCAACCTCCTTGGCTTGGAGCTGGTCAGCGGAGAGGCTGCTGGTCAGCAGTGGCCGGAGCCGCCCCATCAGGACCCACCAGGACCAGGCCTTGACCCTCTGAAAGGACAACAGGTTCCTCTGGATGCATTGGATCGCCAGCCGCTGGACCTGGGAAGAACAAAGCCCATTGTCCACAAAGGTGGAGGGAGTGCTTCCGCCTTCCTGTCTATATTTTGGTGGGGAATAACAAAGCCCATTGTCCTGAAATCTGGTCTATTTTTTTTCCTAAGAACCACCTATTTCTGATGGGATACCAAAGTCCATCATCTTGAAAACTGAGCTAATTTTTCCTAATAACCATCTATTTTTGACAGGATAACAAAGCCCATCATCCTTAAATCCGGTCTATTTTTTCATATCCTATTATTATTTAATAGTTTTTCCTATTCTAGAAACCACTAATATATTTCTATGGGATAACAAAGCCTATCGCCCACAAAGATGGCTTCTTTTCATCTTCTGGAAACCTTCTGTATATATTTTGATGGGAATAACAAAGCCCATCATCACAAAACCAGGCTTGTTTAATGTCTTATGTAAACCAACCATCTATTTTTATGGTATAACAAAGCCCATCACCCTAAAATCTGGTCTATATTTTTCCTATATATTTATCCTATATATAGACCACTTGTATTTGTATGGGGATAACAAAGCCCATCATCCTGAAAACCCAGTCTATTTTTTTCCTTTTCTAGAAACCACTCATATATTTCTATGGGATAACAAAGTCCATCATCCTCTTATGGAAGCCACCCATGTATTTAGGTGGGACAACAAAGCCCATCACTCCCATCATTTCACCTTTAGCTTCCTATAGTTCTGCCTGGAGAGGAAGCCTTTGCAGGCAGCTTGAAAGAGAGACAGATTTTGGGAGACCATCTTATCCCTTTGTTTTTCCAATCTGGAGAGGAGCCCTGCCTTCAAGAAGACCTATGGAGGGGAAAAAAGGGAGATGCATAGTTTATTATTATTATTATTATTATTATTATTATTATTATTATTATTTCCCTTTATTATTATTTTATATTTATTATTATTATACATGTTATACACATTATATTATTTTCTATTAGTATTATATTGTATTTTATTATATCAGTATTCTATATTATTATTATGCATATTATAGTATTATATTTTATTATATCAGTATATTATTCTTTTCTATTATTATTATTATTATTATTATTATTATCATTATCATCATTATCATTATTATTATGCTGGCAGGATTGCTGATCAATGCATTGACACTGGGGAGAGCAGGTTGAGCTCCCTCTGTCAGCTCCAGCTCCCCATACGGGGACATGAGAGAAGCCTCTTTGGCAATGGAGCCCCCAGTGGCGCAATGGGTTAGATCCTTGTGCCAGCAGGACTGAAGACCAACAGGTCAGCGGTTAAAATCTGGGGAGAGCAGGTTGAGCTCCCTCTGTCAGCTCCAGTTCCCTATGCGGCGACATGTGAGAAGCCTCTCACAAGGATGGTAAAGCATCAAAACATCTGAGTGTCCCCTGGGCAACGTCCTTGCAGATGACCAATTCTCTCACACCAGAAGCGACTTGCAACTTGCAGTTTCTCAAGTTGCTCCTGACACAGACAAAAAATATTATTATATTATATTATATTGTATTGTATTGTATTATATTATATTATATTATTATTATATTATATTATATTATATTACATTTTATTATTATATTATATGACTGTATGGGAGTTGGGCCCAACTAGGAACACAACTCTATTGGGATTGTCACTTTGAAACTGGGATTATGAATGCAATACGAAAAGTGGGACTTAACAGCATTGTGTGTACCTGGGTTCGTCCCAAGGCGATGCTCTTCTTTTCCAAATCCAAGGCACGGAGCAGCTCCTCCAAAGCCTATCGAGAAAAATAATGCAAAACAATAATAATTTAAAATCTCTGAGAAATTAAATATATTTGGATCTGATCGTATAGGGAAAGGTCAACGTGATTACCTTCTTCTCATCCGTTGTCTCATAAGCTGAAGTGTATTTTCTCATCAGTGGTTGGGCCAAGATCTGGAAACGCCGTCGGAATTGGGTCAGCGCCATGCGGTCAGAATATCCTAAAGGGCAACAAAGGTCTCCTTGAGTTTGGGGGCAATCCTATAAACTTTAATATCCATTTTGAGATCAATGATGGAGTCCTAAAGGTCTCAGGTCAAGATGGTCCAAACGACCCATTGACCAATGCATTGACCCAACACTCAGTGATTGAGTCCAGTGAACAACCATAGATGGGACTGGCCAACAGGAAGGACTCATTGACCAATGCACTGACCCAACACTCAACGGTTGAGTTAATGGATTAACCGTAGATGGGACTGACCAAAAGGATAGACTCATTCACCCACTGACATTGACTAATGTGTTGACTCTATGGGTCTACTTAATAGTTTGGTCCACAGACTCAATGGTGTTGAGCCAATCCATTGACCCAACAATCAATGGTTGAGTCCATTGGTCAACCATAGATGGGACTGACCAACAGGATGAACCCACTGACCAATGAGTAGACCCAACACTCAATGGTTGAGTCCATTGGTCAACCATAAATGGGACTGACCAACAGGAAGGACCCATTGACCAATGCATTGATCCAATACTAGACGGTTGAGTCCATAAGTCAACCATAGATGAGACTGAGCAATGGGATGGATCCATTGACTGATGCATTGACTCAACATTCAATGGTTGAGTCCATTGGTCAACCATAGATGGGACTGACCAACAGGATGGATCCATTGACCAATGTGTTGACCAAATTATGGACGGACCCATGTTTTGCGACCTTCTAGAAGGTTCTTCACTAAATCCCATCATCTGTATAGGGAGATAATGGGGCCATTCCATTTTGGATGTGTTTTGGAATCCTAAAGGTCTTGAGTCCAGATGGTCCAAAGGACCAAGTTGTCCCTTATGGATGGACCTTTGTTTTGATAACTTCTAGAAGGTCCTTCACTAAATCCTATAATCCTTATTGGTGGTTGTCCCGTCTATATAAAGTCATTTATGTCTATCTGAATGACCATATTGTCCTCCAATGGAGAGTTCCTTTAACTTGAGTACTTCTGAAATGTTTTTCTTCTCCTCTAAGTCCCATTGTCTTTATAGGGAGAGAATGGGCCTTCTAGATTACCCCTAGTTTGTTATGGCTTACATCAGGGATCCTCAAAATAAGGCCCGGGGGGCGGATACGGCCTTCCAAGGTCATTACCCGGCCCTCACTCAGGGTCACCCTAAGTCTGAAATGAAAGCACACAACAACAATTCTATCTCATCAGCCAATAGCAGGCTCACACTTCCCATTGAAATACTAATAAGTTTATATTTGTTAAAATTGTTCTTCATTTTAATTATTGTATTGTTTTTAAGTGGTTTTTTTTTTTGCACTACAAATAAGATATGTGCAGTGTGCATAGTAATTGATTCATGTTTTTTTTTTCAAATTATAATCCGGCCCTCCAACGGTTTGAGGTACTGTGACCTGGCCCTCTGTTTAAAAAGTTTGAGGACTCCTGGCTTAGATCAAGGCTAAAGGACCTCATATGATGGACTATATTCTCATCCATAATATCATTCCTTCATCTTGAGATTGACTAGAAGGTCCTTCTCCTCTAAGTCCCATCATCCTTATAGGGAAAGAATGGGGCCTTATTGGTGGTTGTCCCACTCATATAACGTCACTTATGGATCAACTCAAGCCTATCTGAAGGGCTGTGTTCTCCCCTGTAATGCCCTTCCTCCAACTTGAAATCTTCTAGAAGGTCTCCCTTTTCCTCTGATGGGGAGAGAATCCATGACTTCAGACCGGAACCCTTCCATACCGATTCTATGCAACCGCAAGGCATCTATGATCTGACACCCAGAGAGCTGGACACGCAAGGATGGGATGTCCCATGATGTTGTTGGATCCGGGTGGGTCTCTACTTCTGTTCTCGGGAGAAGGCAGTGGACAAAATGGATCTGGGAACGCTTCACCAAATTGCAGAGGGCATCCTAAGAAGGGGGAAAGAAGGGTTAATTCGTAGCATACATTTGAGCCTCTGTCCCATTCATTCGACTCGTACATTTTGATGCTTTTCAATTTGTACATTCGAGCCATTCTGCTTGTTCGACTTGTATATTTAGACCCTTTTTGACTCGTACATTCAAACCATATTTCTGCACTTTTGACTCACCCTTTTCAACTTGTGCATTTGAGCCATTGTTCTGCTTTTTTGACCCTTTTCAACTCATACTGACCCTTTTTGACATACATTTGAGTGAATATCCCCCTCTTTCTACACTTTTCGACTTGTACATTTGAGCCTCTTTCGACTCATATGTTTAGACCCTTTTCGACTTGTATTTGAGTCATTGTTCTGCTCTTTCTACTCGAATATTTAGACCCTTTTCAATTTGTACGTTTGAGCCATTGTTCTGCTTGTTCGTTTTATACATTTTATTTTAAAAAAATCTTTATTTGAAAATTTAGATTAAAAACAGAATGATAACTAACTGACAGAAAGAACATATAATGGACAAAACCAAAAAGGAAAAGAAAGAGAGAGAAAAGAAAAGAGAGAGGAAAAAAAGAGTGACACAAAACACAAAGAAACTCCATATATATGAGGGGTATTTTTTAAGTAAGGTCCGTTTTGTTGTTGACACTAGTAGTTCGCGCGCATACCGCAACGGGTGCGTGCGTCGTGTACTGGCATGCCTCGGGAACAACTGTGCTCAGTTTCCGCTCTGTAGCTAACCTGTATGGTTCTGTTCTGTGCTTTAAAAATGTTTAAGACTATCAACTCACCCGCCGCATGTGAGGTTCGCTCAGTGATACGGTTTTGTCAGCAAGGAACCTGCCTGCTGCAGAAATTCATCGACAGATTTGTGAAGTGTACGGTGATACTGTTATGAGTGAAAGCAAAGTGCGTAAGTGGGTACGACAATTCAAAGATGGCCATGACAACGTCCATGATGAGGACCGCTCCGGTCACCCTTCTTTGATTACAGACGATTACAGGCGATTTGGCGGCAAGTTTTTATGAAGAGGGTATTTTAAAATTGGTTCAGAGGTATGATAAGTGTTTGAACAAACTTGGCAACTATGTCAAAAAATAGAGTGAAGTATGTACTTTCTGAATATAAATTTACTTTTTTGAAATAAACTTTCGTTGTGTACTTATGTTCAAATGGACCTTACTTAAAAAATACCCCTCGTAAGTGGACAAGTTAATATTTTGACTTCCTGGTATCTTCCCGATGTCTTTTTCTTTTCTTTTCTTCTTCCCTTCTTCTCTCCTTCCTCTTCTATTTCTCCTTGTTTGCTTCTTGCCCTCTCTTCTTACAGTCATCCTTTTTATATTATCTACCACATTTTCCAGCATATAAGACGACTGGGCGTATAAGACGACCCCCAACTTTTCCAGTTAAAATATAGAGTTTGGGATATATTCGCCGTATAAGACTACCCCTCTTCCAACGCACACCAAATAAAAATTTAAAAAGCACCAGATTTGATTTCAATATTATTATTATTATTATTATTATTATTATTATTATTATTATTATTATATTTATTTATTTGACTTGTATACCGCTACTCCCAAAACAATACAATTAACTTTAAAATACAATAAAACAAGAACAGACATAGTCCCGAGTTATTCAATATGGTAATTTTCCTATTACTGTACCTCCTTCTCTGAGAGGCAGAGGAGGAGGTACGGTAATAGGATACAAGGGCGGGCCAGACAGGTAAAAGAGTTGGTTTTTTCTGGGCCCAGAGCCACTCTATCTCTTTTTTCCATACCCTGTGCACCCCGGACAGCTTGCTCCGCCCTTCACTTAGACCTTCCCGGTGAGGCGTCCCTTCACCTCATCATTGAGACTGCATTAAGTCCATGAATCCTGATGAATCCTGATGAATGGATTTTCTTCTACCGTACTTGTACAGCATCGCCCTTAATGCTTTCATACAGTCGCTGCATACGCCAGGGATGCGGCCATTGCCATTTTTGAGCTCCCCCCACAATATGCAGCAACCATAGATTCTCCAATCCAGATTGGACGTTTCAGCACCCGCTGTATAAGACGATTTCCGGCGTATAAGATGACCCCTGACTTTTGAGAAGATTTTCTTGGGTTAAAAAGTAGTCTTATATGCCAGAAAATATGGTGTAATTCTTCTTTACTAAATCAAAATCTTCTTATTCCTTTGTTTAAGGTATTGAGTAACTTTTTTCCAATCTGTTTCTTTCATTTTTATACCCTTATTTTTTGACATACGAAAGGTGAGCCTATCATCATCATCATCATTTAATTACTTATTAATCGCCCTCCATCCGAGAATGCTCTAGGCGATTTACAGCTAAATTGTAAAAGACAAAAATATACAAACATTAAAAATTAACTATCCATATTTCTAATCTGTAGTATCTTCATTAACCGCTTTTTTAATTTCCAAAATTTCTGTTACTATAATTTTTGCCTCCTGATTTTCATATATCGCCTCTATTACATTTTGGAAATAAAATCCTGTATCCATTTCTTTCATTAAAAATTTAAAGAAGTTCCAATTTACATTATTAAATACCTTCTCCACATCTAGGGTCAAAAACGTTACTTTATTTTGGTGGTTAACTTCGTAGTATTCAATCAGATCTATAATTGTTCTTACATTTTCTTTTTGATATCTATTAGGTAGGAAGCCTGCCTGTTCCTCCTTTATATAGTCTTTAAGTACATTTTTGAGTTTTTCAGCCATTCTGTTGCCAAAATTTTTGTAATCAACGTTGAGTAATGAGATTGGCCTGTAATTTTTTACTTCTTCTGGGTCTGATTTCTCTTTATGAATCACACAAATATTTGTTTGTTTCCATGAATTTGGGATCTCTTTATAAAATCTTATTTCATTCATTATATCTTTTAAATACGGTGTAAGTTCTTGATGGAATGTTTTATAATATGTTGCTGATAGTCCATCTGGCCCTGGAGCTTTATTTGGTTTTAGATTCTTTACTGCTGATTTTATTTCCTGCTCTGATATTTCTTTATTCAGATTTTCCCTTTGTTCATCCGAAATTCTTTGTATTTTCTGCCTCCCTAAATATTGAGAAATCTTTTCTTGTTCAATTTGTTCATCTTGATATAATTTTTTGGAGGGTGAGATGAAAAGTGGCATCATCAGCATAGAACAATAAGGGGATTCTTCTTGACACTTTTTGTCAACTTACTTTGGAGTGAATATCCCCCCTTTGTGCCCTTTTCTATTGATATATTGTGATCCTTTGGAGATTGCTCTCTTCTTCTTTTTGTCGTGTCAGGAGCGACTTGAGAAACTGCAAGTCGCTTCTGGTGTGAGAGAATTGGCCGTCTGCATGGATGTTGCCCAGGGGACGCCCGGATGATTTGATGTTTTATCATCCTTGTGGGAAGCTTCTCGCATGTCCCCGCATGAGGAGCTGGAGCTGATAGAGGGAGCTCATCCGCCTCTCCCCGGATTCGAACCTGTGACCTGTCGGTCTTCAGTCCTGCTGGCACAGGGGTTTAACCCACTGCGCCACCGGGGGCTCCCAGGTTGGACATTGCTACAATCCAGACATTGTTTTGCTCTTTCAACTTGTAGATTTTAACACCTTTTGAGTTGTACTTTCAAGTTAATGTTCTTATCTTTTGACCTTTATCGACTCATATATTTTGACCCTTTTTAACTTGTACATTTGATTATTCCCTCTTTCTACACTTTTCGACTTGTACATTGTCACCCTTTTGACTCGTTAGTTTGAGCCATTGTTCCACTTGATCTTTTTGACTCCTATATTTTGACCCTTTTTGATTCATATTTGGATTCTTAAGAGTTGTTTATTCAAACCATTGTTCTGTTCTTCCAGCTCTTTTCAACTAATATGTTTTGAACCTTTTCAACCTGTAGATTTTTACCATCTTTGACTCATATGTCTGAGCCATTCTTTTGCTCTTTCAGCCATTTTTCACATACACTGATCTTTTTTGACTTGTAACTTTTGACCCTTTTCAACTTGTACATTTTGCCCTTTTTTGACTCACATATTTTAACTTTTTCTGATTTGTACATTTGACCCTTTTTGACTTGTACATTTGAGTCACTCTTCCATTCTTTTTTGGTTCTTATATTTTGATCCTTTTTGACTCGTACATTCAAATCATTGTTCCATTCCACTCTTTCAACCATTTTTTACTTGCACCTTTCAGTCATTGTCATACTCTTCTCAACTCGTACTTTTCAGAGTTTCCAACTCATACTTTTCACAGTTTCCTGCTCATACATTTTCACCTTTTTGACTTGTACATTTTTACCCTTTCCGATTCGTACATTTTCACCCTTTTTGACTTGTATTTTTTAACCCTTTTTGACTCATATATTTTCACCCTTCTGGTTGCTTCTGGATCGAGAGAATCAGCCATCTACGAAGACGTTGCCCAGGGGACGCCTTGCAATCCTGCGAGGAGGCTTAAGAACAGACAAGCATCCCAAGTTCTGAGGATCACCTGGGAAGGAATCCCACTGGAGCATTGCAGCGCACCCAAATACCTGGGAGTCACTCTGGACCGTGCTCTGACCTACAAGAAGCACTGCCTGAACATCAAGCAAAAAGTGGGCGCTAGAAACAATATCATACGAAAGCTGACTGGCACAACCTGGGGATCACAACCAGACACAGTGAAGACATCTGCCCTTGTGCTATGCTACTCGGCTGCTGAGTACGCATGCCCAGTGTGGAACACATCTCACCACACTAAAACAGTGGATGTGGCTCTTAATGAGACATGCCGCATTATCACGGGGTGCCTGCGCCCTACACCACTGGAGAAATTACACTGCTTAGCCGGCATTGCACCACTTGACATCCGCCGGGAAGTAGCAGCCAATAGTGAAAGGACCAAGGCAGTAACATCTCCAGCCCATCCCTTGTTTGGGTATCAGCCAGCACGTCAACGACTTAAATCAAGAAATATTTAAGTCGTTCTTAGATCTACAGAGACACTCGCTGGAACACCTCAGCAAGCGAGAGTCCAAAAGTGGCAGGCTCAAACTCAGCACCTCAATCCGTGGGTGATACCAGATGAGAGACTCCCTCCTGGGCACACAGAGGACTGGGCGACTTGGAAGGCGCTGAACAGACTGCGCTCTGGCACCACGAGATGCAGAGCCAATCTTAAGAAATGGGGCTACAAAGTGGAGTCCACGACATGCGAGTGTGGAGAAGAGCAAACCACTGACCACCTGCTGCAATGCAACCTGAGCCCAGCCACATGCACAATGGAAGATCTCCTTGCGGCAACACCAGAGGCACTCCAAGTGGCCAGATACTGGTCAAAGGACATTTAATCAACTACCAAGTTTGCAAAATTTGTGTGTGTGTGTGTGTGTTTTTTTTTCTGTTTGTTTGTTGTGTTCTGTTAGAAATGTAATACAATGGTATGGTTGCTGATGACACAATGACACACCCTATAAGGCATCAATATATTTGACCCTTGCACTCACCAACTGAAGTTTGATCTGAGCACAGACCGACTTCTTCTTCACGGCCGCGAAACTGCTGGCAAAAGACTTCCGCACACAACCGATACGCTGCAAGGCCTGCTGAGAGTTTCCTTCCAGACCCGCCACTGACCGGCACACCAGGGGGATCTTGCACCGGCTTTGGAAAAGCTCATTTATGGCCTCTCTGAAAGGAAAGACAGGATAACTGAAATGCCTCGCTTTTGGAAGCTAAGCAGGGTCTGCCCTGATTGAGGATTGGATGGGAGTCTAGCAAGGAGGAGGGAGGGGCAGAGCTTACATTTTCGATTGCTGCAAGACCTGGGCGGCATTCTCAGCTGAGAGGTTCCACTTGGCCTTGCTGACCCACCCAGTAGCGTCATAACGGACGGGGTCATGACCCAGGAGGTGGCCGACCTCAAACTGCAAGGCCTGCTCGCACTTCCTGAGGAAGAAGGCTGTTCCTGAAAGGCAATTAATGAGTTTTTTAATTGAAATAAGATGCTACCTCTCTGTTCTCCTCCATCTAGAGATATTCTGGAAAGGTCCTTCTAGAACAAGCCCTATGAGGAGCGGCTTAAGGAGCTAGGCATGTTTAGCCTGAAGAAGAGAAGGCTGAGAGGGGATATGATAGCCATGTATGTGAGAGGAAGCCACAGGGAGGAGGGAGCAAGCTTGTTTTCTGCTTCCCTGGAAACTAGGACACGGAACAATGGCTTCAAACTACAAGAAAGGAGATTCCATCTGAACAGGAGGAAGAACTTCCTGACTGTGAGAGCCGTTCAGCAGTGGAACTCTCTGCCCCGGAGTGTGGTGGAGGCTCCTTCTTTGGAAGCTTTTAAACAGAGGCTGGATGACCATCTGTCAGGGGTGATTTGAATGCAATATTCCTGCTTCTTGGCAGGGGGTTGGACTGGATGGCCCATGAGGTCTCGTCCAACTCTTTGATTCTATGATTCTATTATTCTAGTGTCACTCTAGGGTCTCTAGGCATTTCCTAGGCCCTCTGGTTCAACCTTATTCCTCTCTAGGCATTTCATAGGTCTTCCAGTATGATTTTAAGTTATGTTGACCATAGAGTTCCACTAGAGGATCTAAGGATGTCCTCTCTACACATTTCCTAGGTCCTCCAGTATGATCCTATTCCTTTCTAGGCATTTCTTAGGTCCTTCTGTGTGATTCCATTCCTCTAGGCATTTTCTAGGTGCTCCGATGGGATCCTATTCCTTTCTAGGCATTTGCTAGGTCCTCCAGCTCGAGCCTATTCCTCATCTCTAGGCCTTTCCTAGGTTTTCAGTGCCATTCTATGGTGGAAGTTGACCATAAAGTTCCCCTGGAGGACCTCGGGTTTCCTGTAATCCTCCATTGTGATTCAATTCCTCTATAGACCTTTCCTAGGCCCTCCAGTGTGATTTTATGGTATGTTGACCATAGAGTTCCACTGGAGGTCCTAAAGATGTCCTATCTAGGAATTTCCTATGTCCTCCGGCTCACTACTATTCCTCTCTAGGCATTTATTATTATATTATACATAATTCTAATATAATATTTTATTATAGTATTACATTTTGTATTACTATAATTATTATAATTATATTATTATATATTATTATATAATATTACTATTATATTATATTAGATGATGATGATGCCAATGTTGACTAAACACCTGGCTTACCTTCTTGTGTGTTGAAGGCGGAGAAAAGGCGTTGGATGGCACTGCTGTCACTCAAACCGGGGAGCAATGCCTCTTCCTCCAGAATCCAGAGCAGGCCTTTGGGAGGGTCATCTCCTTTCCCGGCTGAAGCCATTGAGACCTGGGCAAAGGCCAGAGAGAGAGAGAGAGAGAGAGAGGGTGAGGCTCCACCTCCAAGGCCTCCCATTGGCCCAGCCAAGGATGCATGCAAATTACCTGGGAGGGCCTTTGGTCCACCAGGGCCACTGTAGCAGAAGGGGTGGAGCCAGGCAACTCAAAGCAGGGCTCGATGCCCTCCTAAGGAGAAACAGATTCAATAGGAATTAATAATGCATTAAAATATTTGATTAAATCTATATATATAAGAAGCTTAAGGGCGTAATTAGGCGGTCAAAAACGGAAAAAACCCCATCACCTCTTTTCTCCTCCCTTTCCCCATACCCAATTCCACTCTATCCCAATTGTACACTATACCCAGTTCCCGACCCGACCTTCCCACCCAGTTACCCATTCCCTTTCACCACCACCCCATCCTATCTCACCCTTTGTTTATAATATATGTGTATTGAAAATTTTGCAATAAAGATAATTAAAAAAAACAAAAACGGAAAAACCACCAGATGAAATCTCACCAAATTTGGCCTGCTAATACCTCTTCCCCCAAGGTATGACCAACAACCCTCAAAACACCAATACGCAACAACACAAACGCACAATACCCTAAAAACATGGAGCATGCGCAGAGGCCTCGGGAGGAATACGCTGAGGAGGAAGGACTCCATTTCCCAGCTTCCCCCGCGCCCGAGTCCCCCTCCGCATGCACACTGCCGCCTGCCTGCCTCCCTCTACCCCATCGCTCCCGCCGCTGCCTCACATACACACACGGAACAAGACCAGGAGAGATTGCGAGCCCAGCCTGAGAAAGCCCACCAGGCCGATGTAAGCACTAACGGCCGGGGAGGGCATGGAAGCTGCGGGGGGCCGCCGAGGGCAACAAAAACAAAACGAGACGGGAGGAGACGAGAAAAAACAACACGAGACGAGACGTCTTCTCCTAAGCCGGGGCTTCGATTTCTACCGCGGCCCGACGCCCCTCTTGCACTCGGCGGCCTCCAAACCTACCCGGTGGGAGGTGGGACTCTCCCAACTGCTTCTCCTGCCCGCTGCTTTTTCACTTTTATAACAATGTACTCCTCATTTCTGGGATTTACGGATTTGAACCACACTTGGCACACTGAACTCCCATGACCAACAGATAATACTGGAAGGGTTTGGTGGGCATTGACCTTTTGTTTCGGAATTGGAGTACACCTACATCCAGAGAGCACTGTGGACTCCAGCAATGATGGATCTGGACCACACTGGGCACGAATATGAAAACAGATGGACTTTGCGGGAAATACACCTTAACATTTGGGAGTTGTAGTCCCTGCAATTCACTGTTCACCTACAATCAAAGAGCATTCTGAACCCTACAAACGACAGAATGGGGGCAAACTTCCCACACACAACCCTCATGACCAACAGAAACTTTAGCCCATCCACTACAACTCCCTTCACCAGGGCAAGATAACGCAATCACACTCCTCCTGACAAAGAGCCATCCACCCATACATTGTGGATAGATGCATCTATCTATCTATCTCTCTCTCTCTCTCTCTCTCTCTCTGACTATCTATCTATATATAAAAAGCTCTGTGCATAATGAGTACCTTAAAAACAAAAGAACCAATGAACGAAATCACACCAAATTTGGCAACAAAACGTCTCACAACACAAGGAGTGACCATCACTCAAAAATTATGATTTTGTCATTTGGGAGTTGTAGCTGCTGGGATTTATAGTTCACCTACAAATCAAAGAGCATTCTGAACCCCACGAACGACAGAATTGGGGCAAACTTCCCACACAGAACCCCCATGACCATCAGAAAATACTTAAGGCCATCCAATCCAACTCCCTTCATCATGGCAAGAAAACGTAATCAAAGTCCTCCTGACAAAGAGCCATCCAGCCATAGATAGATAGATGATAGAGATAGATAGATAGATAGATAGATAGATAGATAGATAGAGAGAGAGAGAGAGATAGATATGATTCACACACATATACAGATATAGTATCATAGATTTGAAAGGCACTCCTAAAGGACAATGATATGTTACATGTTCCAGAGTAGGTAAACCAGACACTCTCCACATCAACACTGACAAAGAAACAGCAAAAAATACTGTTTACCCACAAGAAGAAAGAAATTACATATATTAAAAACCAACATTTTCTCATTACTTTATTTTCCAGATCACCAGACTGGGCCACAGCAACGCGTGGCAGGGCACCGCTAGTATAATATAAAAGTAAAATAAAATAATATATAAATATAATAACATAACAAATATAATACATAATACAATATATTTATTAATATTATATATAATAATATAATAAAATAACAATAATTTAAAATAATACTAAAATAATATATTATAATATAATATAATATATTAATATTATTTTCCCATGACTTACCTCTTGGTACCTTTCCATTGTGGAAGTGAAGGTCCGTTCATAGAAAAGTGCCTGAAGTCTCTCTTGTGCGTAGTTTCGGCAGAACTCTTCAAAGGAAGCTGCTCTCTCTTTCCTGTCATGGCGTGGATTCCGGAAGCCCGGCAGGTCTAGAACCAGAACGGAAGCCATAGAGAGGAGTGTGGAGGAGAAGGACCTGCCATTCATAGAGGAATAATACATTAATAAAATACACTATATATTATTATATTATATCATATCATGTTACCATATATATATATATATATATATATATATATATATGAATAGATTAGAATAAAATAATATAATAGAATATAAATAATAATATATAATATAATAATATAAATATATAATAACATAATATAGTATAATATAAATAGATAATATTATAATAGAATGATACATAACATAAATACATTATTATATAATATGTATTATATACTTTATAATATTATATATTATTATATATTATATTGTAATAATATAAAATATAATAATAATATACTATAATAATGGTATAAAATAACATAAATATAACATAATATATAATAATATTGTATAGGGAAGAATGCAATGCTGAGGTATGGAAAAATGGAAATATTTGAAAAAATACTGGGATAAAAATATTGAAAAGAATTACTTGAAATATGGAAAAAAAATTGGGAAAAACTGAAAATAATGGGAAATTAGTTTTAAAAATACTGGGAAAATGGAAACATTGAAAACTGGAGAAAATGGGAAAGGTATTGAAAAATTACTGGAAAAGTGAAAAAAATGGAAAATAAATTACTGGAAAAATGGGGAAAATTATTGAAAAAATACTGGAAAATGGAAATAATATTGGAGAAATTACTGGAGAAAATGGAAAACTGTATTGAAAAGAATTACTCTAAATAATGAGAATATATTTGGGAAAGCTGAAAATAATGGAGAAATATTGAAAAACTACTGGGAATAATGGGGAAAATTCTGAAAAATGTTGAAGAAGGCAATGCTCAGATCTCACTTCAAGAGGGCAGCATAGGGACAGGAAGGATTATATATGAATATATAATAAATTAATCAAATACATTATATTATAAATAAAAGTTATAAAATATATAATAACAAATATAACTTTAATCAAAATACAAAATAATGAATAATATACATATATATCATTTCATATTATATTACCATCTATTTATTTTTATTTACCTATTGATTAAGGAGACAATGGCTGCAAACAATTCCTCATAGAGCCCGGCCGCCATTCCCTCAAGGCATTCGACACCCGTCAATTTGGGACCTAAACATAAAAATACTCAAAAATATTAATTTGGAAAAATACTCAAAAAATACTTGGAGAAAACAAGGGGAAAGATACTGAAAATTACTTGAGAAAAATATACCGCAAAAATTACTTGGATAAAATACTTCAAATAAAATAATACAAAAAATTACTGAAAAAACAGGGAAAATGTTGAAAAAAATACTGAAAAAACTGAGAAAATATTGGAAAAAATAGGGAAAATACTGAAAAAAATGGGAAAAAAGCTGGAAAATGTTGAAAAAACTGGAAAATGAAAAAATTAATAAATTGTTGAAAAAAAATGAAAAATTACTGGAAATAATGGGAGAGACATTAGAAACTAGAAATAATGGTAAAAATTACTGCAAAATGGAAAAAAATATTGAAAATGTTGAAACATTACTGGAAATAGTAGGGGAAATACTGAAAAAAATATTGAAAAAAATTAAAAATATTGATAAAAAGATACTGAAAAGATACTAAAAATGGAAAAATAATGGGAAAAGTATTGGAAAACATACTGGAAGAAATATTTAAAAAACAATTGAAATTATGGAAAAAAATGAAAAAAAAACCTAGAAAAACCCTGAAAAAAAATACAAAGAAAGTGGAAAAATAATGGAAAACATATTGGGAAAAAATTGAAAAAATATTGAAAATACTGGAAAATAAAAGGAAAAATATTGGAAAATTTATTGGGAATATGCCTACTCTCTGTGGGTTCTTCTGCAATGTTTCTGGTGGCCTGCTGTATTATGTTGCGAAGGTGATGCTTGAAGACGGCGGAGGAGAGTTCCTCAAAGTCACAGCCCAAAGCTTCTGCTGCTTCATTGGCTGCCTCCCATCTCAGGAACTGCTTTCTGCCAACTAGAAAACATGCAGGAAGTGACCTCTCTAGGACTCCCCTAGGCCCTCCAGTGCAACTCTATGGCACAAAAGCCATAAGAACCAAAACAAGAAAGCTTGGATAGATAAAAAATACCATATAATAATATAATTAAAATATTAATTTATAATAATATTAATATATAATAATATAAATAAAATAATAGAATAATAGACTAGAATAATATAAATATATAATAATATAAGAACAGAATAGAATAATAATATATAATATAACAATAACAGAATATAAATATATAATAATATAATATAATAACAGAATAGAATAGTAGAATAAATATATTATAGTAACAATATAAATATATAATATAATATAGTAATATAATATAATATAATATTAAAAATAATAGAATATAAGTATAATAATAATATAACATAATAGCTGAGATGCCTGACCTTTGGTGGCCCCAGCAGCCCCAAGGTGGATGATGGCGGCCAGGACTCTGCAGAGGGCGCTTTCCTCTTGGACTCCAATGCCCATTGTCCTGAAGGCAGATTGAAGGCCAGAGAAGGAAGCCTTGTACGATTGCCTCTCCTCCGCCTGTGGCCGTCAAAGATGGGGGCTCGTTAATTAATTGGGGGAATTGTGACATTTGAAGGTATATTATATTTATTATAATTAATATAATTGTATATGGATGATGGGACTCACAGTAGAAGGAGGCTGGATTCCGAAGGAGTTGCTGTCCCTCATATGATGCAAGTGGAGGAGGGTCCTTTGCAGAAAAGAGAAAGAATTTAATAATATAACTATGATTTTATATTATAATTATATTATTAAATAATATATTTATATTACAGAGATAAAGCAGGGTATAAATACAATAATAATCATCATCACCATCATCATTATAATCATCAGCATGACTGTATTGTACCTCTGGTCCAGGTCAAGTCCGGCTAACATCTGAGTGAAGACGTTGAAATTGCCCTCTCCGTCCGGTTGCTGTGTGACGCGGATCCTCTCCAAAAGCATTGTCTGGAAAAGGAAAGTCTTCCATGATTGGCCCTTTCTGGTGGTCAACCATCCAGAGGGACAGACATAGGAGGGTTTTACCTGAAGGTGGGCAGCCGTGATGTGTCCTGCAGCGTTGAAGTCCAGCGCCATGGCCATTGAGAACCGGGTGGATGCTCCATTACGGCCATCACTGACTGCCCCGAAGGCCTGGAGGATAGTGAACATGGCCTGGATCTTCTCCACTGAAACATAAAACAAGTTAACTGTTGAGTGTTGGATCGATGCATTGGTCAATGGGTCCATCTTGCTGCTCAGTCCTATCTATGACTGACCCATGGACTCAACCATTGAATGTTGGGTCAATGCATTGGGTCAACACCATTAAGTCTATGGGCAAAAATATTGAGTAGACCCATTGCGTCAACTCATTAGTCAATGACATTGAGTGAATGAGTCTATCCCGTTGGTCAGTCCCATGTACGGTTAATCCATTGACTCAACCGTTGAGTGTTGGGTCAATGCATTGGTCAATAGGTCCATCCCATTGACCAGTCCCATCTAAAGTTAACCAATGGTCTCAATGTTTGAGTGTTGGGTCAATACATTGGCCAATGGGTCCATCCTATTGGTCAGTCCATCTACAGTTGACCAATGGACTTAACTTTTGAGTGTTGGGTCAATGCATTGGTCAATGGATCCATCCTGTCGGTCAGTCCCCTCTATGATTGACCCATGTACTCAATGGTTGAGTGTTGGGTCAATGCACTGGTCAATAGGTCCATCCCCATCAGTCCCATCTACATTTTGACCCATGGACTCAAGTTGAGTCCATCCCGTTGTTCAGCTCTATCTACAGTTGACTCATTGACTCAACTGCTGAGTGTTGGGTCAACACCACTGAGTCAATGGACCCACTGAATCAACACATTGGTCAATACCATTGAGTGAATCAGTCCATCTCATTGGCCAGTGCAATCTAGCGTTCACCCATGGACTCAACCATTGAGTGTTGTGTCAATTCATTGGTCAATGGATCCATTCCATTGGTCGGTCCCACCTATGGTTGACCAATGGACTCAACTGCTGAGTTGAGTCCATCCCATTGGTGAATGAGTCCATCCTGTTCACCCATGGACTCGACCATTGAGTGGTCGGTCAAGGCATTGGTCGGCCCTTGTGGCCCAAAACTGACCTGTGACCCGGTTGTCCACACTGCCTGCATGCTCCACCAGGTACTCAAGAACATTCTGGCAACAAGTGGTCTTCCCTGAACCCGATCTCCCCAAAGGGATTATGGTCTGGTCCTGGCGTTGAGTCAGCATGGTCCAGTAGGCCTTCTGAGCCACAGAGAAAATGTGGGGAGACATCACATCCCGCTTCCCTTTGAAGGCCTGCAGGAGAAGAGGAAGTGAGAAGGTGGCCATCTTGAGGACTTTAGATAGAAACTGAGCTACCTATAGTTTCAATGAGAAAATGGCAATTTTGAGAAAGACTTTAGATAGAAGTGGAGCTATCTCTAGGTTCAATGGGAAGACGGCCATTTTGAGAAGGAAGTGGAGCTATCTATAATTTGAATGGGAAGATGGGCATTTTGATAAGGACTGTAGACAGAAGTAGAACTATTATCTATATATTGCATGGGAAGGCGGCCATTTTGAAAAGAATATAGAAAGAAGCGAAGCTATCTATACATTGAAGGGCAAGGTGGCCATTTTGAGAAGGACTGTAGAGGGAAATAGAGCTAACTATACATTATTATATTATGATATATCATAATTTACATTATTATTATATTATACCATGTTATATTATTATAATATATTTAATTATTGTAATATATTATAAATTTATATTATTACATTATGATATATCATAGGCTGTCATTTTGAGAAGGACTGTAGAGGTCAATGGAGTTATCTATAGGTTCAATGGGAAGGTTACAATTTTGAGAAGGACTTTAGATAGTAGAGCTATATAGAATAATAGATCATAGTTGGAAGAGACCTCATGGGCCATCCAGTCCAACCCTCTGCTAAGAAGCAGGAAAATCCCATTCAAAGCACCCCTGACAGATGGTCATCCAGCCTCTGTTTAAAAGCTTCCATAGAAAGGGACTCCACCACATTCAATATATGGGAAGGAGGCCATTTTGAGAAAGACTGTAGAAGGAAACAATTGTACCTTCTTAGAAGTGTTGTTTGTAGAAGACCATGGTTCAATGACTATCAGATCTGGACCGGAATAAGTGTAAACCAGCTGTGACCGGAAGCGGTGGATGAGGGTGTTGATGGCACTCGACTCATTAAGGCTAACGAGTGAGGCCAAGTCTTCGGCATAGTCGAACCTTGAAGGGTTGGTCTGTTAGGGTTCATATAATAATATATTACTATTACTATTACTATTACTATTACTATTATTATTATTATTATTATTATTAATTATTAACACAACAAGATGAGTACACAGCAAACAAGATCACTTTGCTGGCTGTTGTATTGGATCACATATTGGACACTTCCCAAGTATCTAGGACTGTGTGATGTATTGGCGAATAATGCGTGCAGATCCCAGTAAGGTGGCCTTTTGCAGCTGGCAGATGGTAATTTTGTCAGTGCAGATTGTGTTTAAGTGCAGGCCAAGGTCTTTAGGCACTGCACCCAGTGTTCTGATTAACTGCTGGGACCACCTTGACTGGCTTGTGCCAGAACCGTCATATTGTTGTTGTTGTTGTTGTTGTTATTCATTCGTTCAGTCGTCTCCGACTCTTCGTGACCTCATGGACCAGCCCACACCAGAGCTCCCTGTCGGCCGTCACCACCCCCAGCTCCTTCAAGGTCAGTCCAGTCACTTCAAGGATGCCATCCATCCATCTTGCCCTTGGTCGGCCCCTCTTCCTTTTAACTTCAATTTTCCCCAGCATCATTGTCTTCTCTAAGCTTTCCTGTCTCCTCATGATGTGGCCAAAGTACTTCATCTTTGCCTCTACTATCCCTCCATCCAATGGGCAGACAGGCTTTATTTCTTGAAGTATGGACAGGTTGGATCTTCTCGCAGTCCAAGGCACTCTCAGCACTTTCCTCCAACACCACAGCTCAAAAGCATTTCTCTTCCTTCGCTCAGCCTTCCCTAAGGTCCAGCTCTCACATCCGTAGGTGACTACAGGGAATACCATGGCTTTGACTAGGCGGATCTTTGTTGCCAGTCTGATGTCTCTACTCTTCACCTTTTTATCAAGACTGGACAATGCTCTCCTCCCAAGAAGTAAGTGTCTCCTGATTTCCTGGCCACAGTCTGCTTCTGCAGTAATCTTTGCGCCTAGAAATACAAAGTCTGTCACGGCCTCCACATTTTCTCCCTCTATTTTCCAGTTGTCAATCATTCTTGTTGCCATAATCTTGGGGTTTTTTTTATGTTTAGCTGCAACCCGGCTTTTGCGTTTTCTTCTTTCACCTTGATTAGAAGGCTCCTCAGCTCCTCCTCGCTTTCGGCCATCAGAGTGGTGTCATCTGCATATCTGAGGTTGTTAATGTTTCTTCCAGCAGTTTTCACCCCAGCCTTGCATTCCTCAAACCCTGCACATCGCATGATGTTTTCTGCATACAAGTTAAAAAGGTTGGGTGAGAGTATGCAGCCTTGCCGTACGCCTTTCCCAATCTTGAACCAGTCTGTTGTTCCGTGGTCAGTTCTGACTGTTGCTACTTGGTCCTTGTACAGATTCCTCAGGAGAGAGACAAGGTGGCTTGGTATGCCCATCTCACCAAGGACTTGCCACAATTTATTATGATCCACACAGTCAAAGGCTTTGGAATAGTCAATGAAGCAGAAATAGATGTTTTTCTGAAACTCCCTGCCTTTCTCCATTACCCAGCGGATATTGGCAATCTGGTCTCTGGTTCCTCTGCCTTTTCTAAACCCAACTTGTCCATCTGGCAACTCTCTCTCCATGTATTGCTGGAGTCTTCCTTGCAGGATCTTGAGCATTACCTTACTGGCATGAGAAATAAGGGCCACTGTACAAAAGTTTGAGAAGTCTTTTGCATTTCCCTTTTTTGGTATGGGGATATAAGTTGATTTTTTCCAGTCTGATGGCCATTCTTGTGTTTTCCATATTTGCTGGCATATGGCATGCATCACCTTGACAGCATCCTCTTCCAAGACTTTAAACAGTTCAGCTGGGATCCCATCGTCTCCTGCTGCTTTGTTGTTAGCAATGCTTCTTAAGGCCCGTTCCACCTCACTCCTCAGGCTGTCCGGTTCTAATTCACTCACCACACCGTCAAAGCTATCCTCAATGTTATTATCCTTCCTATACAGATCTTCTGTATAGTCTCGCCACCTTCTCTTGATCTCTTCAGCTTCTGTTAGGTCCCTGCCATCTTTGTTTCTTATCATGCCAATTTTTGCCTGAAATTTACCTCCAGTGTTTCTAATTTTCTGGAAGATGTCTCTTGTCCTTCCTATTCTGTTGTCTTCTTCCACTTCCATGCATTGCTTATTTAAAAATAGTTCCTTCTCTCTTCTGGCTAACCTCTGGAATTGCGCATTTAACTGGGCATATCTCCCCTTATCACTGTTTCCTTTTGCTTTCCTCCTTTCTTGGGCTACTTCCAGTGTCTCAGCAGACAACCATTTTGCCTTCTTGGTTTTCTTTTTCTTTGGGATGTACTTTGTTGCCGCCTCCTGATAATGTCACGGACTTCTGTCCATAGTTCTTCTGGGACTCTGTTTATTAAATCTAGTGCTTTAAATCTGTTCTTCACTTCCACTGTATATTCGCTAGGAATGTTAGTGAGATTATATCTAACTGGTCTGTGTGTTTTCCCTGATCTCTTTAGTTTTATTCTAAATTGAGCAATAAGAAGTTCATGATCTGAGCTACAGTCAGCCCCAGGTCTTGTTTTCACCGACTGGATGGATGTCCGCCACCTTTGGCTGCAAAGGATGTAGTCAATCTGATTTCGGTGTTGACCATCTGGTGAGGTCCATGTATAAAGCTGTCTTTTAGGTTGTTGGAAGAGAGTGTTTGTTATACACAGTGAGTTTTCCTGGCAAAATTCTATCAGCCTGCGTCCCGCTTCATTTTGTTGTCCCAGACCATGCTTGCCTGTGATCCCAGTTGTCATTATTATAATATTATTATTATTCAGGAAGAGAGAGGGAAGATGTTCACAACAAGAGAGGAGTCTCCTTGGTTGCCATTTTGAGAATGATGGGAACTCCATATCTTATCATTCCGTCCTTGGGAAACTCACCTTCTGGATCTGTTCCTCGTCAACTTCCAACACAGAACTGTCTGACTCGATTCGAACCCGGACCATCCCTGGAGGGAGTTCAGGGGTCCCTACATCGGGTTTCAGTTCAGTTGCTGAAAAAATAATGAGGATAGAATTAATAGATGAATAGATAGATAGATAGATAGATAGATAGATAGATAGATAGATAGATAGATTGATAAATGTCAAACAGGGATGTGTTATTGCCCCAACTTTATTTTCCATCTTCATTGCTATGATACTTCATCTTGTTGACGGGAAGCTTCCCACCGGAGTGGAAATCATCTATCAGACAGATGGCAAGCTATTTAACCTCAGCAGACTGAAAGCCAAAACCAAGGTTACAACAGCATCCAGTATGCTGATGACAACGTCATCTGTGCACATTCAGAAGAAGATCTACAAGCCACTCTAAACACCTTTGTAGAAGCACACGAGAAGCTCGGCCTGTCATTGAACATCGAGAAAACCAAAGTGCTGTTCCAGCAGTCACCAGCCAATCCCTCTCCAATGCCAGAAATACAGCTTAATGGTGTAACGTTATAAAACGTTGACCATTTCTGCTACCTTGGCAGCCACCTCTCCATCAAAGTCAACATTGACACTGAAATACAACACTGCCTGAGCTCTGCGAGTGCAGCTTTTAATGAAGCAGAGTGTTTGAGGACCGGGACATCCGTAGGGATACCAAGGTGCTTGTTTATAAAGCTATTGTCCTCCCAACCCTGCTATACGCCTGCGAGACGGAGACTGTCTACAGACGTCACATGCAACTCCTGGAACGATTCCATCAGCGCTGCCTCCAGAAAATCCTGCAAATCTCTTGGGAAGACAGGCGGACAAATGTCAGCGTGCTGGAAGAAGCAAAGACCACCAGCACTGAAGCGATGGTCCTCCGCCATCAACTCCACTAGACCGGCCATGTTGTCCGGATGCCTGATCACCATCTCCCAAAGTAGTTGCTCTACTCCGAACTCAAGAACGGAAAACGGAATGTTGGTGGGCAGGAAAAGAGATTTAAAGATGGGCTCAAAGCCAACCTGAAAAACTCTGGCATAGACACTGAGAACTGGGAAGTCCCTGGCCCTTGAGAGCTCCAGCTGGAGGTCAGCTGTGACCAGCAGTGCTGTAGAATTTGAAGAGGCACGAATGGAGGGCAAAAGAGAGAAACGTGCCAAGAGGAAGGCGTGTCAAGCCAACCCCAACCAGGACCGCCTTCCACCTGGAAACCAATGCCCTCACTGCGGGAGAATATGCAGGTCAAGAATGGGGCTCCACAGTCACCTATGGACCCACCAGTACACTGACCTTGGAAGACTATCCTACTCGGACAACAAGGGATCGCCTAAGTAAGTAAGATAGATAGAGCAGTGTACCTAAGAGAAGCCTACCTTGAGGTTCCAATATATATACATAGATGGATAGATAGATTATAGAATCATATATTTGGAAGAGACCTCATAGGCTCCAAGGATTCGTGGATGAAACTAATTATCTGGATCCATTGCAGTCTGGTTTCAGGCCTGGTCACAGTACAGAGACAGCTTTGGTTGCCTTGGTGGATGACCTCCACAGAGAGCTTGCCAGGGGGAGTGTGACCCTGCTGGTTCTCTTGGACATCTCAAGCAGCTTTCGATACCATTGACCATGCTATCCTTCTGAGGTGGCTTGCCGGAATGAGTCTTGGGGGCGCTCTTTTGCCGTGGTTCTGCACCTTGCCGGAGGGTCACACTCAGTTGGTGAAGCTGGGGGACAGCTGCTCGAACCCCTGGCCTTTGACCTGTGGGGTCCTGAAAGGTTCCATTCTATCTCCCATGCTTTTTACTATCTACATGTAACTGTTGGGTGAGGTAATTCAGAGTTTTGGAGTTCGGTGCCATCTCTACGCAGATGACACTCAACTCTACTACTCCTTTCCACCAAATTCCAAGGAAGCCCCTGGATCCTGGACCAGTGCTTGGCCATTGTAATGGACTGGATGAGGGCTAACAAACTCAAGCTTAATCCTGACAAGACAGAGGTCATCCTGGTCAGTTGTGCGGCCGATCGGAGTATAGGGTGGCAACCTGTGCTCATTGGGGTCACACTCCCTCTGAGAACACAGGTCTGCAGTCTGGACACAGCGCTGACGCTTGATGCTCTCTGCAATCACATCTTCCCCTACGAACCTGCGTGAGCTTTAAGATATGCTGGGGAGGCCCTCCTCTCAGTCCCACCTCCATCACAAGTGTGGTTGGTGTGGTTGTCCCAACCAACCATGCTTAGAATAATAGAATCATAGAATCATAGAGTTGGAAGAGACCTCATGGGCCATCCAGTCCAACCTCCTGCCAAGAAGCAGGAATATTGCATTCAAATCACCCCTGACAGATGGCCATCCAGCCTCTGTTTAAAAGCTTCCAAAGAAGGAGCCTCCACCACACTCCGGGGCAGAGAGTTCCACTGCTGAACGGCTCTCGCAGTCAGGAAGTTCTTCCTCATGTTCAGATGGAATCTCCTCTCTTGTAGCTTGTGACAGAGGTGGGACCGAGAGAGGGCCTTTTATTAATTATTTATTTATTTCGCGCATTTCTACCCCGCCCTTCTCAACCCCCGAGGGGGGACTCAGGGCGGCTTACAAAAGGCACAGTTCGATGCCAGCAAAACAGATAATAAGATAAAACATATATCAACAACAATTATAAAACAATTAAAACAATCCAGTTATACAACACAATTAATAAAAACCAATCTAATGATCAACTTTCGCCAAGCTCAGAATCCGTAGTTCATTCCGCATTGTCAAATCCTATCCAATTCTAGTCGTCATTGTCCTTTGTCTGTCTGCCAGATTACCCCAAGGCCTGGTCCCATATCCATGTTTTTAGTTTCCTTCTAAAAGAGAGGAGGGATGTTGATGACCTAATTTCCCCGGGAAGCGAATTCCACAGGCGAGGGGCCACCACCAAGAAGGCCCTGCTCCTCGTCCCCACCAATCTCACTTGTGATAGAGGTGGGGCCAAGAGCAGGGCCTCCCCAGAAGATCTTAAACTCCGAGGCAGGACGTAGAAGGAGATGCGTTCGGACAGGTACGTTGGGCCGGAGCCATATAGGGTTTTGTAGGTCAAAACCAGCACTTTGAATTGTGCTCGGAACTGGATCGGCAGCCAGTGGAGCTGACATAGCAGAGGGGTGGTATGCTCCCTGTATGACGCTCCGGTGAGTAATCTGGCTGCCGCCCGTTGGGCTAATTGAAGTTTCCGAACAGTCTTCAAAGGCAACCCCACGTAGAGTGCGTTGCAGTAATCTATACGGGATGTAACAAGAGCGTGGACCACTGTGGCCAGATCTGACTCCCAAGGTACAGGCGCAACTAGCGCACAAGTTTTAATTGTGCAAAAGCTCTCCCGGCCACCGCCGAGACCTGGGGTTCCAGGCTCAGCGATGAGTCCAGGATCACTCCCAAGCTGCGAACCTGCGTCTTCAAGGGGAATGTAACACCATCTAACACAGGCTGTAACCCTATGCCCTGTTTGGCCTTACGACTGACCAGTAGGACCTCTGTCTTGTCTGGATTCAATTACAATTTGTTAGCTCTCATCCAGTCCGACACAGCGGCCAAGCACCAGTTCAAGGTTTGGACAGCCTCCTTGGTAACAGGTGAGAAGGAGTGACAGATTTGGACATCATCTGCGTAGAGATAACATCTCAATCCGAAACTCCGTATGATCTCCCCCAGCGGCTTCATGTAGATGTTAAACAACATCGGGGACAGAATTGAACCCTGTGGAACTCCACACAACAATGGTTGTGGGGCCGAACAGGTGTCACCCAGTAACACCTTCTGAGACCGTCCCTCAAGAAAGGACCGGAGCCACTGCAAAGCAGTACCCCCAAGTCCCATATCTGTGAGGCGTCCCAGAAGGATACCGTGGTCGATGGTATTGAAGGCCGCTGAGAGGTCCAGCAGAACTAACAGGGACACACTCCCCCTGTCAAGCTCCCGGCGAAGATCATCTACCAAGACCTTCTTGGTGGTGGCCCCCTGGTTCTAGAACTCCCTCCCCAGAGAGATTGGATTAGCGCCCACCCTGTCCACCTTTCGTAAAGACCTAAAAACCTGGATGATGTTCCAATGTGCCTTTAATCATCGGTTCACTAGTTATCAATAATTAATAAATCTTATTGATTAACCCTTAAGCCATATCACAATACCAAACCAAACAAAAGGCTTGATAAAACTTGATTACACTCTATATAGTAAGTTAAGTAAAACACTTATAACAATAAATAAATATGATGAAACAGAAAATATACGTCATGTTTCCGCATTACCCCTACAATTTACCCCAATCAGCCCCACATATGTGGTTCTCAGACAACACAAAGAAGCCATTGAAATCCACAAGCATGTGCATCATTTCAACAGAAAGGAAGAAACCATGAAAATGAACAAAATCTGGCCACCAGTATTAAAAAACTCTAAAATCATAACAGTAAATAAAGACAGGCGAGTGCCAGTCAAGAAACAATTAGGGACAGCTAATCACATTTCAACAAAGGATGCCTCCAGGAAGTAAAAACTATCAGGCCATCAAATGCTAATCAAGGTGGCCAATTGAAACATTCACACCTAGTTCCAACAGACAAGAGTTCTTTCTCCCACCCTGGGCATTATTCCACAGATATATAAACCCAATTTTGCCTAGTTTCCAACACACCTCACAACCTCTGAGGATGCCTGCCATAGATGCAGGTGAAACATCAGGAGAAAATGCTTCTGGAACTTGGCCATACAACCCGAAAAACTTACAGCAACCCAGTGATTCCAGGCATTAAACCCTTCGACAACACATATTGTTTTGCTTAAATAAAAAGATGTTTTATATGTTATTTTTGGGTCTTGGCCACACATAAAATATGTTCTGATGTGAGATTCCCAATACATTGTCCATTTGATATATGGACCAAGGTAGAAGTCTTTTGCCTTCTGATACAATTTACAATCAAATCATATGTGTGTCTCCAGGTGCTCCGCAGAGACAAATCCGTTCATTATACGGGATGCTGTTAAATCTCCCATATCTGACCACTGTATCAAGCTGATCAAATCCAGCTCGAGTGCAGAGGCGGCCCTAGGTAATTTTCAATGGTAAGCAAACAGTATTCCCCCCCCCCCCCAACCAATCACTGATATATATTTTCTGTTCGTCGTGGGAGTTCTGTGTGCCATATTTGGTTCAATTCCATCATTGGTGGAGTTCAGAATGCTCTTTGATTGTAGGTGAACTATACATCCCAGTAATTGCAACTCACATATGTCAAGGTCTATTTCTCCCCAAAAGTGCCTCAAGAGCGCCCCTGAGCAAAATCAACTATACTGCAAATGCTTACTATGCGTAATGGGTTGAGCTGCCCCTGCTCGAGTGAATACCTCCCTAAAATATTTTTGTATTTGAATTTTTAGATAGTTGGCCATTTGAAAGGTACGTTTATATTGGCTCAGCCATTCCAGGTTGGCAATCTTACTGAGTGTGGCGATATGTTTTTGTGCTTCTATGTCCAAAATTCTTTGTCTAGCACTCGTTCTATCTTTGTCTCTTAAGGATATAAGAATAAAGTTATTATTATATTAATTTATTGGTTGGTTAATTAAATGATCAACCAATTAATCAATCAATCAATTAATTGATTGATTGAATCAATAATCAGTTAAATAAATAAATAAAAGCAATGAATTAATTACTCTAATTAATTTATTATTGATTGATTAATTAGTCTACCATTTAATTGATTGATTGATTGATTGATTAATAAATCTTACCCAGGGTGAAGCCATTTTTCTGGACCAACCAAACTTTCTCCGTTTCGTACCAGACATCTTCCTAGGAAGAAGAAGGAGAGAAAAATAGCAATTTGCATATTTAAAAAATCACACTTGCATATCAATTTGCATATCTTTTAGAAGTCATTCATATGCATCGAATTACAAATATTTGTTATACAAACCAAATTCACCTTCTCTGAAGAATCAGTGATTTCTCCAAGATCGACTTTGTTTTCCTCGTTTTCTCCTGTTTCTTCTATTGATGATTTTTGCTCCCGTTTTTCTCCAATGTCCTTGATTTTCTCTGTGTTTTCTCCCATTTCTTCTTTACTTTCCATCACTTTTCCCCCCGTTTCTCCCATTATTTTCTCCCCTTGTTTTTCCCCAGTTATTACTCTTGGTTTTTCCTTGTTTTCTTCCACCTTTCCCCTCATTTCTTCCTTATTTTTTATCACTTTTTTCGCTGTTTTCTCCTTGTTTTCTCCCACCTTTTTTCCCATTTCTCCCATTCTTTTCTCCTTGCTTTCTCCCACTTTTTTCCCCTTTTCGCCTGTCATTTTCTCCTCATTTTCCCATAGTTTTTTCCCAGTTATTTCTCTTGTTTTCTCCTTGGTTTCCCCCATTTTTTTCTCTGTTTCTCCCACCAATTTCTCCTTCTTTTCTCCCACTTTTCTTCCTGTTTCTCCTGTTATTTTCTCCTTGTTTCCTCCAACTTTCCCCCCTGTTTCTTCTGTCATTTTCTCATTGTTTCCCCCCATTTTTCCTGTTATTTTCTCCTTGTTTTCGCCCACTTTCCCCCCTGTTTCTTCTGTCATTTTCTCCTTGTTTTCCCATGGTTTTTTCCCAATTATCTCTCCCATTTTCTCCTTGTTTTCTCCCGTTTTCTTCCCCATTTCTCCCATTGCTTTCTCCTTATTCATCCCTTTATTTGCCCTGAGGCTTGTCCGCCCGGTGACACACTCATCCTTCACCCTTGTTTTCACATTCTCTTTTCCAAGGCCCTCTAAGCGTTGTTTGCTCCACGGTGTCGGATGGTGGGCCTTCTTCCCTGCTTCTGGTACCTTCTCCGGATCCTTTTTCCCTCCTTCGGGTGAAAACAAAGTCCTGGGAAGTGGGGAGGGATTGGAAGGAGAGGATGGTGACCCGACCCTCAGATCGGCTCCTCTCTTCTTTTCTGGGATTTTGGTCATTCCTTCACCCTCGCCATTCAACCAGCCCTGGACCAGCGACCCTTGACCTTTGCTATTGGCCATCCCTTGACCAGCTTCCCACAGGTTGGTGGTGTCCTTGATCACGGAGCCATCGTCCACTTTCCCTGGAGGCTGTGGAAGAAACCAATCACCTATCAATACGAGATGATCACTACAAGGGAGGAGAGATGGATGGATGGACTGGATCATGTCTCTTGCAACTTCACTTGGAAGCCCCTCAATATATACAATATAATAATGTATAGAAATAATAACATTGTAATATAACAATACTAATGTGTTATATATAATATTAATAATGTAATATATTGTATATACTACAACTTATGACATAATACACTATATTACATAATAATAGTATAATATACTGGTGGTATATTATATGTATTGTGGTATAATAATATAGTACAACATAATAATATATAATACTAATATAGTGCTATGCTAATAATATATTATATATACATATAATATTGAAAATATTATAATATAATATAATATAAAAGTAATAATGCAATATAATAATATATAACATTATTTTAATATAAAAATAATACATTAATTCTAACACTACTGATAATATATAATTATAATACTGTTTTATTATTTTATATTTGTATATTTTAAGTTGTAATGTTTTCAATTGTGAGCCGCTTTGACTCTCCATATGGTGAGATAAAGTGAGATATTAAATAAATAAATAAATAATATGGGATGAACACTGAAAGTGAAGAGAGATGAATGGATAGATAGATCTATCAATAGATAAGGAAAGCAAGGAGAGATGCATGGATGGATAGATTGATAGATTGATTGAAGGATAGATGGATAGATAGATAGATAGATAGATAGATAGATAGATAGAGATCTGGAGTGAATGGATGGCCAGATATAGATGCAGTGGATGGATGGATGGATGGATGGATAGATAGATAGATAGATAGATAGATAGATAGATAGATAGATAGATGGATGAGATGGATAGATAGATGATGGATGGATGGATGGATGGATGGATGGATGGATGGATGGATAGATAGATAGATAGATAGATAGATAGATAGATAGATACATAGATAGATAGATAGATAGATAGATAGATAGATAGATAGATAGATATGGAGTGAATGGATGGGCAAATATATAGGTAGATGCAGTGGATGGATGGATGGATGGATGGATGGATGGATAGATAGATAGATAGATAGATAGATAGATAGATAGATAGATAGATAGATAGATAGATGAGATAGATAGATAGATAGATAGATAAATGGATGGATTGGTAGATGGATGGATGGATGGATGGATGGATGGATATAGATAGATAGATAGATAGATAGATAGATAGATAGATAGATAGATAGAATGAGGTTCAACTTCATTATGGCTCAGATGCAGTGGATGGATGGATGGATGATGGATGGATGGATGGATAGATAGATAGATAGATAGATAGATAGATAGATAGATAGATAGATAGATAGATAGATAGATAGATAGATATGGAGTGAATGGATGGCCAGATATATAGGTAGATGCAGTGGATGGATGGATGGATGGATGGATGGATGGATAGATAGATAGATAGATAGATAAGATAGATAGATAGATAGATAGATAGATAGATAGATAGATAGATATGATTCATGGATGGGCAGATATATAGGTAGATGCAGTAGATGGATGGATGGATGGATGGATAGATAGAAGCATGAATGAAAAGAAAGATGGATGATAAATAGGTAGATGGATACAGAAATATCTGGATAGATGGAAAGATGGATGGAGAGATGGATGGAAGGATGGATAGATAGATAGATAGATAGATTTATCGTATCAGAAGCAAACCAAGAGTACAGTTGAAAAGAATAAAGTTTAAAAACTTGACATTATATTGAATGTCCTTTGGCCATTTGGAATGCCTCTGGTGTTGTTATGAGAAGGTAGGTAAATGTATTGAGTGGATGGATCGATGGATGGATGGATAGACTGATCAATAGATAGGGAAATATCTGGGTGGATAAATGGAAAGAGGATGGGTGGATAAATAGAGAAATATATGGAAGGACGAATGGATGGAAATATGTATGTATGGATAGATAATTGATAGATATAAAGTGGGTGGATAGATAGGTAGATACAGTGGGTGGATGGATATAGAAATATCTGGATGGATGGATGGATGGATGGATGGATGGATGGATGGATGGATGGAAAGAGATGGATATAAAGTGATAGATTTAAAGTGGGTGGGTAGATAGGTAGATATAGTGGATGGATAGATGGATGGATTGATGGCTAGATAGACAGAGAAATTATGGGAAGATAAATGAAAAGAAAGATGGTTGGTTGGATGGATAGATGGATAGAGAAATGGATAAACAAATATGGTAGATAGAAAGACAGTGATCGAAAAATAGATGATGATGATGATAATAATAATAATAATAATAACAACAACAACAACAACTTTATTTATACCCCACCACCATCTCCCCAAGGGGACTTGGGGCGGCTTACATGACGCCATGCCCATCAATACAATATACACAATATAACACAAAAGCACAACAGAAAATAAAAAAATAAAATAACCTAAAATACAAAACCAATGTATATAAGTGACACAACAATAGAAAATCAAAACATTACGACATTAAAAATGATCACCATGGGCAGGGCCAAATTCAAGGATTAAAATTTTTAAAAGACAGGGCAATGTAAAATATGCAGAGTTTGGTACATGAATGGATAGCTCAATGACAGATAGATAGATAGATAGATAGATAAAGATAGATAGGTGAATGAGTGGATAGATAGATAGATGAATTGATAGATAGCTCAATGATTCATAGATAGATCAATGGATAGATTGATAAATCAATGGATAGATGAATATATTGATGAAATGATAGATGAATACACAGATATTATAGATAGATAGATAGATAGATAGATAGATAGATAGATAGATGAATTGATAGATGAATGGATAAATAGATCAATGAATAGATGGAGTGACAGATAGATGAATGGATAGATGGACGGATAGGGAGATTGGTGATAGATATTAGGCTTGGTTGATCGTGTTCATTAGTTTCTAAACTCGTTATGAATTCGTATTTAAATTAGCTTCGATCCAGTATCGAGCCATGAAGGAATAGTGTGAAGAGTAATTAAGAATCGAAACAATTTCCCCATTTTTTGTAATTATTTTTGAAAAATAGTTACGAAAGTTATTTTTTTTACAAGTTTTACAATCTCACAGTTTCTCTTCCCTCCCCCGGTAGCAAGCTGCGCATTTACCCCACTTCCAGTCCCTGGGCTTAACCCACTTCCGGTCCCTGGCCTCAGCTTAAGCCGATGAATTTCCACTCTCTCTCCCCTCCTGCCGGCCACCTTTGCTCTGCTGCTTCCCTCCTCTTTCCTCATGCTTCTTCTTGCCTCACTCTAGACTGCACTGGGCTTCCTTCCTTCCTTCTTTCCTTCCTTCCTTCCAGCTGGCAAATCCCACATTCCCCCCTCCCTCCTCTTTCTCCTGGCATCCTTCTTGCCCAACATTTCTCGTTACTTTATTTTTCATACCATCACTCAATGCCACAGCAATGCGTTGCCAGGTACAGCTAGAATATAATATAATATAATATAATATAATATAATATAATATAATATAATATAATATAATATACAATAATATAATATAATATAATATAATAATAATATATATTATATTTTATTATTATTATATTATATTATTATAATATTATTATATTATATTATTGTATATTATATTATATTATTATGTTATTATTATAACAACAAAAATAGCTAGAAGCACTTAATTCAGTGTATCTATCAAGAACTCAAAGTCTGTAGCAAATTGCTGTGCAAGAAAAATAATTTAGCAAATAATCTGGATTATCCTGGGAAATAATCTGGGACAACAGAACGTTCAAGCAAACTGCTTCCAAATTATAGGGCTAGAAAACACAAGTAAACAAGGTGGAAGCAAGGAAAAGCGTCCACCATTAACGAATCGATTTGTATATTTACGAAATTTCGTAAATATCGAAAATTTGAAATCTGAAATTTCCGAAATCCTCTCAGATTTGAAACGTGGGCGCCCCGTAGATACGAAACGAGTTTAGAACCATTTTTTTTCTTGATGAACCAAGCCTTAGATATAGATGAATGCGTAGACAGATAGATACATGAATGACTGCATTGGTAGATGAATGGATAGGTAGACTGGTGAATTGATAGATGACTAGATAGATAAATGGATAAATAGATCAATGAATAGATGGAGTGACAGATAGATGAATGGATAGATAGATGGATAGGTAGATTGGTGATAGATATAGATGAATGCGTAGACAGATAGATACATGAATGACTGGATTGGTAGATGAATGGATAGGTAGACTGGTGAATTGATAGATGACTAGATAGATAATAGATAGATGAATGGATATACATATACAGTAGGTAGATAGATGTATTTATTTATTTATTTATTTTTATTTGCGACATTTACATAGACTTACGTCTTCCTTAGAATTCAGTGGGATTTTCTCCTTGAGTTTAGCTTCTTTCTCTGTTTCACGAACGAGTTGCTTAATGAAACCTCCAGGAATCACTGAAAAAATGGGAGGCGGAGAAGTCGGCGGTGGAGTCCGGTCTTCTTCCTTTATCTAATGAGCAAAATATGCAAATGTATTAATCACATGAAAATTTATTAATTGCATTGCAAATATATTGGCTGTATGCAAATTTATTCATCATAAGCAAATCTCTTCATCATATGCAAAATCATGCACAAATATATTGGATGCATGCAAAGTTACTGATCAATTTATTAACTATATGCAAATGTATTCATAATATGCAAACATATGCACATATATTGTGTGAATTTATATGCATATTAAAATTCTATTAAATTAACCTTGTTTGTCTTAAAACGTGCAGGAATTTAATTTGCATACAGAAAGCAGTAAATTTCATGCAGGGATGAATTAAGCTCATGCAAATTTACCAAATATTAATAAGCCCTTTAAAAAAGAATGCTTTTTAAATTGTAATTTATGTAAAAAAATTCATTGAAAGCTATTGTCAAACGGCAATACAAAAATTGCATTTTTTGCAAATTTAGAAAAATGCAAATTTTTATTGCAAATTTGCAAAAATTGGAAATGTTATTTGCAAAAAATTGCAAAAATTTGGGCTTTTATCAAACATTTGCAAAAAAATTGCAAAAATTGTGAATTTTATCGCACATTTGCAAATATTTTCAAATCTTATCGCACATTTGCAAAATATTGTAAAAATTGCAAATTAGCAAATTGCAATGCCAAACAAAAATAAAATAAAAGAAGAGCAAGCTTGAAATTAAATTATAGTTTTGTCAAAAATGGCAAATTTTATTACACATTTGGGAAAAAAAATTGCAACGTTTGCAAATTGTATCGCAAATTTGCAAAAAATATAAATTAATAATAATGTGCACATTTGTATTGCAAATTAGCAAACTTTGCAAATTGCAATGCCCTCAAATTAAATTAAAATAATAAATAAATAAATAATAAAAGAAGAACAAACTTTAAAATTTGAATTTAATTTCTGACACTTTCCTTTTGCTCCCAGAGGGCCAAACGTGATGAAATGGCCATGCTTTTGTGTTGTTTGTGGAGGTGAAAGTCGTGATGACGATGGTCCAAAAAACCCAACAACTAATAGTGAAAAAAATAGTGAAAAAAAAAAACGGTGCTTCACAGATTGGGACCGGAAAGAGAGAAGGTTGCAGAAAAAGAAGAGAAAGAGAGAAAAATTCATCAAATAAGCACCAAGAAAGCTATGGGATGCTCTATATCTATCTATCTATCTATCTATCTATCTATCTATCTGAAGCTATATAGCAATATCAATCACTTTATCAATATCTATCCATATCTATCTATGTCTTTATCCATCCATCTTTCCATCCATCCATCTATCTATCTATCTATCTATCTATCTATCTATCTATCTATTCATCTATCTAACCGTCTATGTATCTATTGGGACCTGAAGGTAGATAGAGTGGACTCTATCTCTATCTATCTATCTGTCTGTCTGTCTGTCTATTCATCTATTGATCTATCTAACTGTCTATATATCTATTGGGACCTGAAGGTAGATAGATAGAGAGATAGATAGATAGATAGATAGATAGATAGATAGATAGATAGATAGATAGAGATAGAGTCCATTCTATCTATCTATCTATCTATCTATCTATCTATCTATCTATCTATCTATCTATCTGAAGCTATATAGCAATATCAATCACTTTATCAATATCTATCCATATCTATCTATGTCTTTATCCATCCATCTTTCCTTCCATCTATCTATCTATCTATCTATCTATCTATCTATCTATCTATTCATCTATCTAACCGTCTATGTATCTATTGGGACCTGAAGGTAGATAGAGTGGACTCTATCTCTATCTATCTATCTATCTATCTATCTATCTATCTATCTATCTATCTATCTATCTATCTATTTTTCTATTTCATTTATCTCCATCTTTCTCTATCAGCCTATCTCATCTATTTATGTATCTATTCTATTTATCTATTCACCTATCTATCTATTCATCTATATCTTCTATTCACCTATCTACCGCATAGATAGGTGAATAGAGATAGCTAGATAGCTACAGCAAGAGAGAAATCTAAATAGACAGATAGAATAGATGACTAGGTGATAGAGTGATGGACCCAAAAGAGGACTACCTTCAGGTCCCAATAAATTGATAGAATAGATTGATTGATAGATGGATCGATAGATGAATAGACATAGATAGAATACATAATCTATTATTTCCCTTTATCTATCTATCTATCTATCTAGATCTATTTTTTCTATCTATTCATCTATATCTATTCATTATTTCATCTATATCTATCTATCTATATGTATGTACATATAGATTATATACATTGGTTTTGTATATAAGGTTAGAAAATCTTTTTTTTTAATTTTCTGTTGTGTTTTTATGTTATATTGTGTATATTGTATTGATGGGCATGGCCTCATGTAAGCTGCCCCGAGTCCCCTTGAGGAGATGGTGGCGGGGTATAAATAAAGTTTTATTATGTTATATTATATTTTAATTTATCTATTCATCTATCTATCTTCCATTGATCTATCTACTGATAATCAATCTGCCTATCTATTTCTCTATTCATCTGTTTATTCTATCTCTATCTATTCATCTATGTATCTATCTATATCTTTATTTCTCTCTTTTTCTGTTCATGTATCTATCTATGTATTCATCTATCTATTTATCTATCCCCCTATCTATCTATCTATCTATCTATCTATCTATCTATCTATCTATCTATCCATCTATCCCTCTATCTATCTATCTATCTATCTATCTATCTATCTATCTATCTATCTATCTATCCACTCATCTATCTATTCATCTGTCTATTCACCTATCTATTCATCTATCTATCTATCTATCTATCTATCTATCTATCTATCTATCTATCTATCCCTCTATCCCTCTATCTATCTATCTATCTATCTATCTATCTATCTATCTATCCACTCATCTATCTATCTACTCATCTATCTATTCATCTATCTATTCACCTATCTATTCACCTATCTATTCATCTATCTATCTATCTATCTATCTATCTATCTATCTATCTATATCTAGCCATTTATCTATGTATTATCTCTATCTACACATCTATCTATTTATCTATTCATCTATCTATGTATTCATCCACATATCTGTCTTTCTAGATCTATTTCTCTATTCATCTATATCTATTCATTCTTTCATCTATCTATCTATTTATCTATCTATATGCATCTATCTATTCATCTATCTATATATCAATCAATTGATTGATTGATCTGCCTATCTATCTATTCATCAGTCTATTCTATCTCTATTCGTCTATGTATATATATCTTTCTCTATTTCTCTCTTTTTCTGTTCATCTATTTATCGATGTATTCATTTATCTATCCCTCTATCTATCCCTCTATCTATCTATCTATCTATCTATCTATCTACTCATCTATCTATTCGTCTATCAGTTTATCGAATCATCTATCTCTGTATCAAAATATCTGTTTCTTTCTTTATCTATCTATTCATCTATCTATTTATCTATATTTAGCCATCTATTTATGTATTATCTCTATCTACTCATCTATCTATCTATTTTATCTATTTTATCTATTCATCTATCTATCTATCTATCTATCTATCTATCTATCTATTCATCTATGTATCTATCTATTTAGAATGGACTATGGACAGGCTTTGGATTGGGTCGTTGGTCACCGAATCAGACTCGGATATGGCAATAATGTTTATATATTCTATTTATATCTATTATTTCTATATCTATCTATTCATAAGACGTTAAGGAAGTACAATAATAAATTAGATAAATAATAATTTAAGTAATACTAATAATTTAAGTAAATAGTATAAGAACAATGATTAAATAATACTTTAATTTACTTAAACTGTAAATTAAATGAAAGAATAATAATATACATACTGGTAATACTTTTTAAGTAAATGATAATCTCCAAGTAAAAGAATAATAGTTTAAGTAAGGAATACTAATAATATCAGGAAATAGTAATAATAAATTGAGTAAAATAATACTAACAATAAATTGAGTAAAATAATACTAACAATAAATGAAGTAAAACAATACTAATAATAAATAAAATAAAATAAAAATAATTTTGGTAAGTCAAATAATAATAATCGAAATGCGTAAATAATAATAAATACATGAAGTAAAATAATACCAGCAATAAATGAAGTAAAATAATACTGACAATAAAGTAAAATATTACTATTTACTTATTTAGATTATTATTGTTGTTGTTTGACTTACTTAAATGTACTATTTAACTATTGCTGAAATAGTGTTATTTTAATTTATTTATTGTTAGTATTATTTTACTGAATTTATTGTTGGTATTATTTCACTTTATTTATTATTATTTGCTTATTATTGTTCAACTTACTTAAATTATTCATATTATTTTACTGAATTTATTTTTAATAAAAATACTAAGTCAAACAATACTAAATTGGTAAATAATACTAATCATCATCATATATTAAATTACATTAAAATAATACTAACAATAAATTCAGTAAAATAATACGAATAATGTAAGTCAAACAATAATAACCAAATAATAATAAATAAAGTGAAATAACAAATAAAATAATAAATAAATGAAGCGAAATAATACCAACAATAAATTCAGTGAAATAATATGAGTAATTTAAGTCAAATAATAATAAATTGGTAAATAATAATATTAATAAATTAAATTCCATAAAATAATACCAACAATAAATAAAGTAAAATAATACTAACAATAAATAAAGTAAAATAATGCTATCAATAAATGAAGTAAAATACTACTAACAATAAACTCAGTAAAACAATACAAATAATTTAAGTAAGTAAAAATAAATAAATTGGTAAATAACAACAACAATAATAAATTAAGTAAAATATAAAATAATATGAATAATTTAAGTAAGTCAAACAATAATAAGCAAATAATAATAAATAAAGTGAAATAACAAATAAAATAATAAATAAATGAAGTGCAATAATACCAACAATAAATTCGGTAAAATAATATGAATAATTTAAGTCAAATAATAATAAATTGGTAAATAATAATATTAATAAATTAAATTCCATAAAATAATACTAACAATAAATAAAGTAAAATAATACTAACAATAAATAAAGTAAAATAATGCTATCAATAAATGAAGTAAAATAATACTAACAATAAATTGAGCAAAATAATACTAATAATAAATACAGTAAAACAATACCAACAATAAATTTAAATAATATGAACAATAAATAAGGTGGAATAATACACTAAATTCAGTAAAACAATACAAATAATTTAAGCAAATCAAATAATAATAAATC